CCTCTTTCGTCTTCAGGGAGTCCCGGGACGCTACAGTAGCAATAACAGGTGAAATGTGAATTAAAATAAGGAAGAGTCAAAATGCAACCATTACTTTCCAAATAATGATCAGCTTGCAAGCGAAATGCTTACAAGGGTTATCTCCCGGTTCCTGGCCACATCTTGGAGCCTCAGGAATGGCCTTCAGAATGGCCGGAGCCAAGAGCTTCAGAAATAGCATATTGATGAAGAAGCCGGAATTTATGGTGTCAGCTAGATCAAAATGTGGTGCTTCGTTTAAGAAGTGTGGTACTTTTTCAAAGAGATGGCTCTGTTCACTCACTGTCACCAAAGTAATCAATAAGAAATCAGATGTCACGGTGTCAATCCTCCTATTTAAAAAGGAAAGGAATGTTAGTTAATCGACCTATAACCATGTTGCTTACAAATGGAGCCATCGAGGAGTCATCTTGGTAAACTTTGTCAGATAGGTGAGCATACACAGTGTCTAACTCATTTTGATGATATAAATGTAAGGGAGCCGTTCTAAACAGGGTACTTGGTGCCATTGGGCAGTCTTCAACAGGTATAAGGTTAGAAACTAAAATAAACACCTGTAGCAAAGGCGTATGATGTTACTATTGCATTGGAATGGTCTAGACAGGGAAGATTAAAGTGTAAACAAGTATAAGGTCTCTTAACAATTTAAATGCAAAGAGAATATTTAATGGGTATCAAGGAATATATGTCATTTCTTCATTATTCCAAGTGATTGAAATTGAGTAACCTCTTATCCATTATTGACCTAAAAATGAAAGAGGGCATATGATTAGTTTGACAAAAAAAGAATGCTTTATCAACCCACAGTCATATTGTCGGAAAGATTAACAGTAGGTAATTCACTTTTGTACATATTACAATTATATTAAATAATACTTTAACGCAAAGGTCTTATCAGACACCATATTTCTCAAGCTGATTTCTATTGTGTTTTGAGGAGAAAGACATCCGATTCTACACTGTTCCAAAATGCATAGCCCTTAGGCTTTCAGATATTAAGATGTTCTGTAGTACCTTAAGTGTAGCTTTATCTTCCCGTTTCGGTAATGAGGCACTTTGTAACTCCCAAATTGTTCCTCTGATGGGCAGCGCTACCTCTGGACCCTGCCAGTAGCCCCAAGTTTTACTGTATGACGACAGTGCATACTTAGTCGAGTATTATGTCTTCTTTCGTCTTAAAAAAAGTCTCGGGGCGCTGCATTTGTGGCAGTGGGGATCAAATACGGTCCTTTAGGAAAATTATCCTTATTCTGCTGAGTGATAAACCTTAAGATGACGGAAGAAGTGCATATGGTGCAAATGGGAAATATAAAAAGACCCCTGGTGGAAAGTTTGGAAATGCTGCCTACCTTTAGCAACCACCCCAATCCCGTGGTCTGCAGGAATTTTTTTAACAAATGAATCCAAACTAGCGGTAAGACATCTAACGACGTTCTTTACGAAGTAGTCTACTGCACCTATACGTAGGTATCAAATGTGTATACTTACGATACCTCATCCACTCCCCTACCAGTTGGATAGAACTTAGACAGAAATGGCTAGGCAACACTGAAGTAAGAAGAAATTAGCAAAGAGGGAGAGACGGAAAATCCTACGCCCACGGGACTACTTTAGACTCCATCCTTTGTTACATGATTCTGCTTTTGAAACATTGTTCCTACGACTGGCTATGGACGTGCGTGATAGCCTGCATACTCTCCTTTTCCCAGTACAGTTTACAAGCAGGACGAAACTCCAGGTCCAGCAAAATTGTCAAGAGGGATTATTGACATTGTGTTGAAGCACCTTCCCAATTGCATAAAATTTCAGTGACTGGAGTGGTTGATTTGCAATTACTTTTTTTGTACCGCAGATTGAAGTGAAATTACCGGAGCGGGAGGATAATCAAGGAGATCGCCATGGGCGAGCAAGCTATGTCACAGTTTGTTTGTCAAAGTCTCGGTTTTGGTAACGGGTTCACTTGGAGTCTCCAGCATGACAACTTTGCCGAGCTCCCTGGCCTCCGACCCACTCCAAAAGCCCTAATCCTCTCCGTATGTCGACCACATATGCTCCGCCCCAGTATTGTCTACCTTAGTCTACAGAGAAGTTTCGAAATACTGCTGTTTAACCTAATTCTTTTTATTTTGCCCTAATAAATCCAACATTCTACTAATATAACCAAATGAATTTCATAATCTTACTACTATATAGAGAACTTTAATGCTTTTTGACAATAGAATCGTTGGGAATAATAAATTGGGAACTTTTAGATAAGGAGGATGTAAGTGTTTCAGAAAACCAGGTCCAATATATTTCAACAGGGGACACCAGATTTGGCAACAGAGTTCCCTAATTTGACTTCTACCATCTCCTCATCGTCTTTTTTAATGTAGAGGGCCCAATTCCACTTTTAACTTAGAATTTAAGTTAATGAGGTGGTCGTAATACGTTATTCGTTTGTTTAACTCTCGGTTATGCTAACGGATCACTTAAAAACCCCGCCAGTGAACGTCTACCTGGCGGCCTGGTCTTTGGGCCTTGCAGATGGCTCCCATTCTCCAAAGTATGTTGACAACACATGTTCTACCCGAGTATTATTTCTTTTTTAGTCTTCACGGAGGTCTCGGGGCTCTTGGGTGGCAACTTCATCAAGGTGGAATTAAAGACGCAGCGCAACCACTAATAGCCATTTGACAAAGTACAACTTTCACGTGGTTTTCGGATAAATAAAAATTAAATACTGTCCCAACTACCAATGATTATCACTACCCCTTCTATAAAAATTGGACAAAATTAAAAATTACCTTAATTTTTCGTTTGCGCCCCTATTCTTGTGCCACACTTTTCCCAGTTTTGCTTCACACACCTTAAGAGCACTTGTGTTTTGGATTATCTGGCCTGCAGAATTCTATTTTTATATGTTTAGTGGTTTCGCAGTCACACTAGCAAGTTCCTTCTACCAACCTTGCCATAAATTTGCATGTCCTCAAGAGAGAACAAACAAGTTTACTGCCCCAGGGAAAGGTGTAACAAATGTGCCAGGCAAAGTGAGAAGACATGTTTGTATTTTGACAGGCAGGTGCTAAAAGAAGTGGTAAAATGTTTAGTTTTGCTGTATTAACGAAACGCATTTCCAGTGAAAGGCACTACTAGCTCACAGTAAAAAAAGGGAAGAATGGAGGCCTCAAAGTGCTCAAAATGAGTAGTATAATAAATAGACACCTATTGTTTTATTTGAATTAAGTAGTTTTTAAAATTATATTTTCAGAGGTGAGCAAAGAATTGACCAGTCGATGTTTCTGATAGGTGGCAAATTAAGAAAGTAAATGGAAAAGAAAATCTGCGAAACTAATTTTATGGGATTTGACGCTCGGGTAAGCCAACAGATCTACCAGTTCATTTTCAGTGGGCGTATAAACAGAGGTCTGAAAATAACTCGACATCGGAGACGCCCTCGCATGCCGTACACATCTATGTGACGACCGACCGTTTACTCAAACTGTATCACCAGACAACTGGCATTTCATTTTTACTGGCAGCTTTAGCATTTTCCACCTTATTCGATCTTTAAGTAAACGTAATGGGAAGGGAAACTTCTGGTACAAGTAGATGGAAGTTAGCGTGCGATTATCTTTACAAAACAGCATTTTGGCTTTAATTTTTGCTCCAAAATAGGAAACTTTGCCCCTCTCTTTTAGATAAATGGAGGAGATACATTTAGTAAACGTAAGTTCATCAGTATATCTATGATGTTAAAGGAGCACTAAAATTTTAGGGGGGCATATTGAAAATCTGTTTTTTCCTTAGTCGCGCTTGATAGACAAGAATTTATTAGTTTTAAAAACCTTAAATGCCGAAACAATTTTTTTCACTTTGTAAATCCTCTTTAATGTACTTATATCATCAACTTACTTTGTTTTACGCCTTGCTATAAACCCTAAAAAGAGCCCGAAGAAATGTTCGTTCTTCTATGTAAATCCAAAAATGGACTTTAGCTTCTGCTTCCGTTTCGTGTAATCTCAGTTTTTAACAAAGTAATTATTGGCATCTTTAAAAAAAGACTTTGAGAGTCGAATATTTTCAATCTTAAATACAGGAAAGCGTTATGACAGACAATCATGATATTGTGCTCCAATTATCATGACTGTGTTGGATTAGTAATCTACTAATTTTTAAAACGAAATGCAAGTAACATTGCCCTTGTTGTACACAGGAAAATTGTTGCCGATGCCATTCAAACTAAATTTCATAGTAGGACCCCACTTTTAGAGGTATTCCACAATAGACTTACAACTGATAAGTGAGTCCAACATTAACGATGACCCAATAAACTATCGCCGAAGTGTAAATAGCTAAACCCGTTGACCTAAAAGAAGAGTTAAATTTACATAAATTTACTAAAGGTACAAAGAGCAACTACTGGGTCTTTCATTCACCCGAGTGAATAGCTGGTAAAGACCGAAATTAAATAATATGTGCTGATTGTAATTTATAGGCTCAACTTAATGACAGACCATTTGATGTTGATAGAGTGAATATGCCAAAACATCTTTACGACTAGCAACTGCTCCTTTGACATACTATACTACTGACAAGCCATTAGTAGAATAATATTTAATGATTTTTATTATGACTCCTTGCGTTCACTTAAAAGGTTGCCAATCACCATCACGATTGCAAACGACAAAAGGAGATTTTTTTTACAGAAACGAAATTGTGATTAATCACGAGTAGAGTAAAGTGTAATTGCAGATTTAAGAGATAATGGTGGATGGATTAATTACTTATTTTTGCAGGTGAATAACTAAGGGGAGTCTAAGTAGCAGATGACAACTATCGGTGGTAAATCTGCGAATATATGTCATTGAATCACTTGTAAATAACAGTCAACTGTTTACTCGCTCTATCCATCCCACGGAAGTGCCTTTTTAGGGGGTGCAGTCCAAGGACTGTTTGGAAAGCCCTCTAGTGAAATGCAAAACAAGTTAACTTTAGAGGCCTTGGTCAGGTATTGTGGACGTGCAATTAGAAATGATGAAGAGTTTTCTTTTTATAACAATATTGTTTTATTCGGAAACCTTAAGGAGACTACTGACTAATGGAGTTGTTTGTGTACCAATGCTTTAAGACAAACCGCTTATTTAATTAGACATAAAATTGCTTCTAAATCACACCAAAAAGGTGACGTGCATACAGAACTCCCTTTATTAGTGAGAGTTCCATCCATTGAAGTCCAGTGAAGGCCTACTTCTGAGTTGCTCCCCGATCCATTGTGATGCCATAATCGTTCGTCCAATCCTCCGTTTTTTTTTAAGGGACACTGAGGACTCCATTAATGTAGTGATGCTGGGCCGCCTGACATTTTTGGGCAATGTCAGTAGCCTGCAAGCCCAATATATGTCGAAAACACATTCTGTCCGGATATTATATCTTCGTTCATCCTCTGAGAGGTCGCGGGAACTGCAAAATTTCGCTTCCTGGGGCCATCAATACGATTTACGCAAATGAAAAGGACTGTTTGATAAGTTAAATCGGTCTGTTTATTTCTTGGTCTGGAGCTTATTTTGATTCATTTTTTAGACAAGAATATGCCACAATTAAATAAAATTAACCCCCTAAAATTGAATTTCTAGCTGATGAGCAATGAATGGATGACTTTTATAAGTTTATTGTGGAAATTATCTCAGTACTTTCAAAACACATGCCAATAGATTAGCTGTTTCACGCATTCTCTTTGCTGACAACGGGGTGTCATATGAAGTTGTCAATAAGCTTATCCAGATGAGAAATGATATATGGCAGTCTGTGCTTGTGACGTCGCTGTAGTTGTTTTGAAAGAAAAGCACAAGGCAAATTGAAGGTGGTTCGTGTGGAGCACCTTTCACAGGAGTTGGGTAGCTTTTTTGATAAAGTTATTTTACTGCCATATGAAAACCTTATTTGTAGATTTCAGTAGGCAACAGTCATCTGACTTTTTTTTCATAAAATTTATATATTCGCATTGTTCTGTCCTTTTTCACCTGTATTTTAATACTTTTTCCAAAAGTTTTACGTCTACTGTGGAAATAACATCAAAGGAATGCCTAAGGCGTCAACAACAACGTACATAAGTGCATAAAATGGGTTTTATGAACGCAAATAACCGTAACTAACGACATAAAAATAAACTGAATTTCCATGGAAAATATGAGCCACGGTAGGAGTAAATAAGGATTTTTTGAAAGGATAGTGAGAGCGATGTCAAAATAACCTAAGCATCAAATGCCTAATGTTTCCTCTCGGCAATATTGCCGAACTGTGTGAAATAAATCTTTAAAAAGATGAATAGTTGGAGTGGTTTCAAGATCATTTTTTATCTTGCAGCACCACCAGATGTGATGTAACAAAATGAGCAATCCTAATGCCAACTTGTAGGTTCAAAGTTAAGTGATCATGCGCTAAATTTGCATTCCCATTCACTGACCGACTGTCAAGTTTTTCCTGTAAGTAGCAAATTCACGTCCGCCAAGATTGCCCTCATTTTTTTGCTCTCCCCTTTTGAATTCTCAACTTTAGATGTAACTTGTTTACAGCCTGCAGTAAATGAATTAAGGCTTGCATATTTAGCAGCCTTTTCTGATAGCTGATTCATTTGCATTTTTCCGAAGCTTAAGTTCGAACTGTTGGGTTGTTTACACCTTTACATTTACAGTCCGGGAAAAATCGCGGTTTTATTTCAATAATGCTTATAAGAACTTTACAGCCACTCGATTAGTCTAAATGTGATGCCACAATCAAACATTTATAGGCAAATTCCTTGCACGACATCATTGCCAACCTGTCAATAGCAAATTAAATACAGGTAATGAACCAAAACCCCTTGGATTGGGAATAGTGATTTAAAGGTTTTGAAAGAAAAGTCGAAGATGATTTCACTTGTATCTGTAAAAGAAATTAACTATAACGTTTCTTGGAAATAGGTAATGAATAGAGTGTTGATTTATGCCTTAAAAAATACTCCAACATAAGAGTCGAAAAACAGAACCGTTCATTTGGTATCAGCTGACCTTCCATTCCATACTTCATTTTTCACCACCTTCTCCTGTGTCTCTTAGGAGAACATCCTTTGAATTATTTTAGTTCTACCTACTTGCACCTGTATTTCCTACCTTTGCTATTGAAGTGACCTGTGAAAGATGCAGGATAAGATAATTGTCAAGACAGCCAACGAAACGCTGGAACGATACGTTCCAAACTGGAAGCCAACGGCAAACTGTGTCGGTAATCTAAGCTGAAAATTAAGGTGGCTGTTGATTGACAGCAAGGTTAAATTAGATTTCCGCCTCCAACAACATTGAAGAAGTTGAATTTCCATCCAAATGTGCGATTGGCAATGCTGTTGGTTCTTGATTTAAGGCTTTAATCTCATTTACCATATCATAACTGAATTAACCGGACAATGACATGAGAAGTTTGTACTCCTGCCCCCCAACTCCACTTAGCGATTATGTAACTGAGGAGATTTAAGGAGATATTTGACTGCACTGAAAAGCATTTAAAATAAAGATCTGTCCAGTGAGCTTATACGCAATCAGCAGTCTGTGTTCCATATATAAAGTGGTCAAACTCCCATTTTTTCATCGTAACTGGAAGATAAATGCAGTTAGTTTAGCATCTACTTTAACTACAAATTGACATCAAATGAGACTATTGTTATTGCTTGATATTACACTTCTCTGATCTTTATTTTAAAAGTCCCACTGTTTAGACTACTCAGACCAACTCATTTTACTCTCAGTCTGCGACGCCACCAGGTTAAAACACCAGCTGTCATTAGCAACCCTCCGTACCTTTACACTAGAAATGGATACAAAATTTACCACAGAAAACTTCCTATCTAAAAACAACCCTTTTGTTCCCTACATAGTGAAAAAATAAGGGAACAGACTGTTTCTTTTTAACTAAAACTATCACTATTGTATAAGAATCCCAGTTTTCCAAAGTTAGAAGCAGAAGTGGAAGAATTTTGTTACTAAAGTCACTAAAAATTGAAGTAGAGTTAAAGCAATGCCCTTTCCAATTAATTTAGCACTTGCACGATTGTGGTAATAACAACTCTCTACATAATGAGGTCTTCAAATAGGCTTGCAAGACTTTTTGAAGGAGAAATAATAAATAACTTTGGGAAGCTCCTTGACATATCAAATTTGCTCATTAACCAATCAACAATACAATGTATTTTCTGTACTTTTTGAGACATAGGCTAGCTGCAATTTCTGCTTTCAGCAAAGTTTTGTCTCTAGCAGGACAAATATCACTGCAGTTTTTACCTGCTTTTTTTTTCCAACTGTCCGTTTTACTTCGCTCGTGATTGGACAGGACCAAGAGAAGGCAATTACCTCCAACAAAATATTATCCAGGGAATGCAAATGGGACGGTAACAACCCTCCCCTTTCCTAAAGTTCAAATCTTTTCACAAATCAGATACAAAGAAAAAGGATTTCTTTTAATTTTCCTTTTTCTACAAATTTGATTTTTATTTACCCGATTTACCAGTCTTGGCTGTTTCTAAAGAAGAAAACGGAGGGTTTTTTCTCTCTGCACATGTATATCTCAGCCCTAACTGCTGTTCAGGCTTGAGTAAGTGAAAAATTTCATGCAAAAACCCGCTCTAGCACACCTTATACACAAAACTTAAATGGTTGTTTGAAGTCAAACAATGATGCTTTTATTTGCCTAACGAAAGGTAAGTTGCTAAAGTCATTGGTCCTTGTTGTAATACATTGGCTGTTTGCTTAACTCTAGTTTTTGGTAAGAAATCACTCAAGTGAACCGCCAGGTAGGCTGGCCTCCGGACCATGTCAGTAGCCCCGATCTCTTCTGTAAGTCGACAATATCTGTGTCTTTGATCACCTTCAGGGAAGTCTCGGGGCGATACAATATAATTCAATCAACTGGCTTGTTTTGCATGGCTAACGTAAAAGAGGTGGAAAACCAATTGATGATTCATGATGTTGATTGGCATTTGCCAATGTAAAAGGGTGTGAGTCCTTTACTCTATCATTAAGACTTTCTCACCTCAGATGTCGTAAGCTCAGGCATCTTCCACATCTTCTGCTATATACTACTATCTTTTAGTGTTGACACATTGCTCTTACACAGGGTTTTAGTTTTTTGCAAATCCATCCAAAATGCTACTTCACGTAGCGATATTTTTAATGTAGGAGTAAATTTTTGATTAATTAGAGAAGGCATTGGACGCCAGCCACCTTTGTCTTAGCCAATTAGAGGCATTTATCTTAAGTGTACCCGTTGCTATGTTAACGAAACCTATTCAAAAATCACTTCGCTAATTAAGTCGTACTGTTCCAGTTGTTTGGATGGGATTTTTCATTCTAAGCTCAACTACCAGAGCTAAGTCTTATACTAAAACTTAGGTCTTAACCCATACACTTCATGCAAACTAAATCTTCGGACTCGACTGGTTTTTCTGTGTGCGATTCAGGGTTTCACTATCAGACAGTTCCATTCTTAAGCAGATAGTTCGATTGACGTATCAACCAATGAGAACCGGGAGACTGATGCCATATTTGTGCCCTTGTTTGGGTCACCTGCAGAACGTTAATACAAATAAGCTATGCATAACAATTCCTCATCATTTGAATGAGGTCTAGTTAAACAAACTTTGCATGGATTACTCCTTTTAATTAACCATGTAAAGAACACCCACCTAATTTGGACTTATTTCTCTTTTAGAAAAAAAAATAAAATAATGGCTTTTGATTTTCCAGTGATAGCCATTGCGACAGAGATGATGATTTGGATTATTCAAGTGGAAAATGGAAGCCTTCTGAATGTTATCTTTGAGAATGTTTCCAGTGCACCGAGAGAATCCCCACGATTCGAACTTACCCCTAGCATCAAACACGATTTTTTTACCAATATGCTTCTCCTAAGACCTCTACCTTTGTCCATTATTAAAGCCATGCCAGATGAACTGGGTGGAGGTCAAGCAGGAGTGGACTCTGCGCACGCGCATCCAAATCGCGAACCGATCATCTTTTGGCTCACAGTGGCGCTCTTTCTCTTTGTTGTGGTACTCATCATATGCATCCAGATTATTAACTGTTGCTTTTGCAATTCCAAAAGCGTGAGTTTTTGCCACGTCAGCTGCATCCATATTGGAGCTCATGTGTTTCAGTTTAAACTCGTTTCAGTACAAGGTAACCATAGTCTGTGGTCCGTTTGTGTTGGCACGACCTTGCCATAATTTTAGCAAGAAGTTTTATAGTTAGTCTTATTTGATAAATTAAGCGACGCCCATGGATTTCATAAGGTCAAGAATTCACAGTTGAAAGACTGCTTCGAAGGTGAAGCCTTTCAAGAGAACATAAATTTATACGAACCAAAAATTAGTTGTATTTGTAATGACCGTATGCTTTCGTACCCACTGATTGCAGACGGCAGCACCACCTACTAAATCTAGACGGAAGCACCTGGTGTGTCGCATCATATTTATCACGTTATTGGCAATCGAGCTACTCCTGGTGGCAGCGTCTGTGTTTCTCCTAGTGGTCTACTTCTGCAGTATGGATTTGGTCGTCTCCTACCTAAAGGCACAACCACAGACGTCACCAGAGCTGACGCACATTCCCACTTCGCTGCCCGATGGGCTGCATGCCGTCTTGATGCATACCTCCGGCTTCATCCGCGAAGGCATCCAGTCTGGAAGGATGCACACTATCTCCACGGTTAAAACATTTGTAAGCCAAACCAGAGTAACTTCTCCTTACTCCTAGAAATAAAACATTTCCAGATCAATTTCTCTCCGTAGTACAATGTGATTTCTACCCCTAAACTTGAAAATGAGAGAACGGAGTCGGATAGATATCTTTGGATTTTGACAAATGATTGGATTATTATTTTTTAAGCATGCGCTGCATTTCAATTCGAGATTAACATTTACGGTGAGGATTATTATCAGCTGAAGGAGACATTTTTCAAACAACCGCTTGAAATGGGGATAATCAACACATTCACTATTCACCCTTTTTTTCAATGATTTTAGAAAAGAAATGTCAGTGAGTTGGACAAAAGCATTGAAGGCTTGTTAATAAGTTTTAAAATCAAAGAGGTGCTCAATGTGAGCAATAGCACCTTCCAGGTCTTTGAAAACTTCGTTTATCCTGCAGAAGATGCCATCCAAAAAATTATTGGTGCAACATCTTTTGTCGATGAAATTTCCATTAAGATGAATTCATCGATGCAATTATTTAACAAAGCATTTAGCAATTTTTCACGCTGTGATCAAACACCGCTTTGTCTGGAATTGAAGGTAAGCCTTAACATGATGCATTTCAAAGTTTGTTGTGCTTTATGTGATGCAGGGTTAAGAAATTGTCATACCTAATAGCAATGAATATCAGTTCATTTTTTCAGCATAAAGAACATTCTTTTCCCTATCCGTTAATTCTAAAAACTGTTTGTATGTTTGACTGAAGGTCCTAAGCTGATCTGAAGATTCAAGTGAGAAACAAACTATGAAACTTCGATATCATCTAAAGCTTTCTGTGATATTTTAATGTCAGTCACAATCGTTGGAATATCAGCGCAATAGGAAGCTATTCATTTGCTTTAGTGGCGTCCTTAGAATTCACTTTAGGGAGAAGATGATATAGTACTCTGGCAGAATATATATTGTGGATCTGCCTAGGGCTTGGAGCTATCCGCAGAGGTTGGAAGCTATGGTACCCGGTGGATGCAAAGTGGCGAAGCACCTACGTGGTTCGCTACTAATATTCTAAGTTAAACAGACAATTAGTGTTACAGAGTCCCTCTCCTTATTTGAGCGTCGTATTCGGTGCTACTCTTAGTCAATCCACAGTGCCAGTCATCACGACGTTAGCGGTGCTGCAAGAAAAACACCCACTAGCCAGCCATGCCAATCATTAAATTTTGACTGCAATGTCACTGATCTCTTGGCAATTCTACTAGAGTTGGAGTTTCTTTATGTTTAGGTACTGTATTGGGGGACAAAGAATATTGGCCATAATGCAGATCCACCGTTAGTAGTGGGAACTTTGCTCTAAAAGGAGAGCCAAAAAACAAGGAAGTGGGTTTATAATAGTTCCGTAAGGGCAATCCTCCTTGCTGCCTTTGTCACACTTCAGAACTGCCTAATTTTTTCTGCCTGAGCTCTAGACATCCAGTAGTGAAGTGGAAGAGGTATATTTGGTTTTTATAATTAATACCTTCATGCAGGTACGGAAGGTAGCTCCGTAACGAACTCCTCTAGATGGTTTACAACTAGCTCCACATCAGCAGACCATGGCACTAACGCAGTTGCAAAAGGGTGGCGTGTTTTTCAAGCCATTTGTAGGGGTCATCACTGATTCTCACATCGCGCTAAGCCTTATCACCCATCGGTATAAACCAAGGTAACTGTCTATTGAGATTGGGTTCCTTATCCCCTGTCACCAATGTAGCTCGCCGAGTCTACCCTTTTGACAAAAGGGGACGTAATACCTAGGCAGAATATATATTGTCGACGCACAGTAAGGCCTGGAGCTAATGGTCCTTTATTAGAGCTCGTAGTTAAAGAAACAATTAGTGTGTTACATTTTAAATACTTCAAACAATAAAACTACGGCAGTTTTTGCAGTTTTGTTCCTCGACCCTTGTTTGTTTAATTTGGTAGAACGCAACGGAAATTTCGTTTTTTTCAATGAACTATACGTCACTTGATACGAAGACCATGGAGCAAGTTATGCGAACCTTGAACGACACCCTCCTACAACTTCACAATCAACTAAATCAGGTCAATTCTCTTGTTGACATCATTCACAATAAGACAAATGACATTCTTCTCTTAATAGAAGCAGAAATGGACTTTGACCAAATCTTTAGTTCCATTGATAACTTTTGGATGGATGTTAGTCTGCAAGCCGATGACTTTGTACATCAGTTCAATCTTATCGTTGATTCGTTTGAACGGCATCTTGGAAAGGCTATCGGACCTATAAAAACTACATTGTACTGTGTTGGTGGATGTCTCACTATCATCATACTTTTCGCGACAATCGTTACCATTTGTGTGATTTACCACGTAACTCGTAGTGGCCTTTCATTCGATTCTGGTAAATTGGGCAAGAGCTCATTGCACTTCACTTTCCAACACCTTATTTGTTTCTAAGGTTTGCATTTATGCATCTATTTAACATTGCCTAAAATTTGGGCCACAAATAAGGTTTATATTCCTAAAAGCTGAATAAAATAAGTTGCGCAGTCCCATTTAGGCCTCAAAACTGTTAAACGGGATAAAATCGTGTGTGGCAGATGCGCCATTTGTTGCTGTTCAACTTTACTCCTCCTGATATTTTTCGCCTTCTCCACCGTCATTGCTATTTCGTTATTTGCAATAACCGTTGCGTCGGGTATGTTCCCTTTTGTTTCTGATGTAGTGTTAATGACTTACAGAATGGAATTGAGTCGGTTTTTGTAAACAAAACCATGATTGCGCATACTAGACGCCCAGAATAAGCAAAAAAGATAAGAAGAAAAGTTTACAAATTACTAAGTGTGGTCCGGGTTTAACCAACACTTTAGCCCTAATCCCTCTACTATAATGGCAAGATATTTATATTAACAAGACCACTATTTCTACAAAATCGGCTGTCTAGCTTTTCGGCCAAGTTTGTTAAAGATCACTGAAGTTAGAGTTCACTGAACCGTTAATTCCGGAATTCGTCCTAAATATGCCGTGTTAAGGTACAACTTTGGTCAAGACTAAATAGAACATTCATTAGGAAATCAAAACCTTTTTTGTGAGCTACTTTATCGCTCTTATTCCCAATCAAGATAATAGTAATAGCTAGCCAAAATTTGTTGTTGTAATTTATCCTTCTAAAGAGACACTGAAGTATGCAGTGAACCACGGTGATGTTAAAGCCTGCCGCTAATATTCCATAATATAGGTAAAGGATGCTTATACCTAGTCCGAGAAAGTGCTATAAATAAAACGGATTTCATTTTGAACGGCTACGTGGCACAACACTGGAACTTGCTTATCCACAGTGCTATCAGTGAAGTGGGCGATTTCGTGTTCACGGCTTCACCGAAGAACCCGCTTTTCTCACTGGCAAAGACCTGCAACACCAAGGCGAGTCGTCATAAAGTTGGGCTTCTTTCTGCTCTTGGCTACTCGAATATGGTTAATACTTCGCAAGTTGTAAGTAGCTCAGCAGTGACTCAAGGCTTTGCAAAGGGAAAAGAGTAAGCAATTCCCACTGAACTGGAAGTAGTTGAGATAATCGGAAAATTTTTATGTCATTTAGTAGAAAATCAGTTGCAATAAGTCCTTTCGCTACCATTCTTGTAAGTAAAACCACCTTCCATCTGTTTTAGGATTGTACTTCAAGAACTTCAAAGAATAAATATTCCTGGAACACTACCTGATGTGTCTCAGTTGGCCCATGCGAAGGAGGAACTAAATGATACCATGAAGGCCCTGGATTTAAATGTAGTACACGTATTTTTACTAAGCATTTTAATGCAGCTTGGCAAATTATTTCGCATAATTCTATAGAAATGCTTTTTACAAACATTTACCATGATTATACTGTAGACAGATTCGACGATTGACACTTTCGTATATTCAAAACTTCCCTTTTACAAACTTCACTGTTATTTATTTAATCTATTGATAAGTCGTTTCAATTCCTTTTATCTCTCAATGTATTTTTAAACTTGTCCATTAAAGCAAATGCGATTTATATTTTGCATTGCAGTCAATCCTCAATTTACTGGACCCAACGATGATCAACACTGCAGAGGTCGCTAAATTTATGGCTGCGTTAATAGTCTTCATTGAGAGCGATGCAATTTTAGATAGGGATGAATTCAACGTTGGAATAAATTCGTTGATTGAAGTGGTCGAAAAAATGGATGCATTCAAATTGTACGCAAATGAGACCCTGCAATCTATTCTTAACATAAACGGAAGAACAGACGGAGTAATCACTTCTTTTGACACCGTCTTCACAGCTTTTATAGACTTTCTTAAAGTGAGTTTAAAGATTTAGCAACAATATTTAAACTGGCATCTTCATTGTTGGTTGAACCGGATGTTTGAATAAGGCTGAAGATAGACAGGGCACCCCAATGCAAGTGAAGTCTCATAAGTTGCACCTACGTTATTCTTGATTTCACATACCAGGTTGGCAAAAACGAATCCACACTAATGGCAGAGGTAGAAAAGCAGTACGATGCTGCTGTGGTGGGTTTAAAAGAATTCATGAAAGTTGATGGCGATCGGGTCTTTGCGCGGCTGACACAGAAGCTGCTGCCCTGCAGCGAAGCCCATGCAGCATACACCGTGGCGATGGAAGTGACTTGTGGCGAGTCTGGGGTTGTGAAGCATCTTCTCGGCCTCGTCTACGTGCTTGCCCTCAACGTTGTCTTTCTAGTCCTACTCTACCTTGGCCTATTAAACCTTGCCAACTTCCACACTCTCCAAGTTCATTTTCCTGTCGGTGAAGCTGCCAGCGCTGGCGGGGACGATGGAGAGAAATCAACCACCTCCAGCAGCTGCAAAGATGAGAAATTACCTTAAAATATGCACGAATAATCACGCCATTTGCATTTATTTGTTTTTAATGTAACCTCGCATTTGTTATGACTCTATGTTGCCATTCATGATACAATGCTAAAAATGTTCCTTTTGTCCGTAAAATAAGTACAATTGAACTTTGGTCTGAATTTTAGAAATTACATATTTTTACCAAAGACAACTAGGCAATTGTTTCATTTTAGACATTTCAACTAGTACAACATCTGCGTCTGTACTGCAAAGATGCCTTTATAGGTGGACTTTGATTAAGGGAATCGCTTTCTGTTTCCAACTCGTGCTTGACGTGGCCGAATTAAATATACGGCTATCAATTATCCAGTAGCGGCGGCACGACAATGAGCTCGGTATTTATGTTGTTGGTGCAGGCACAGCATGAGGACTTCCTTGAATGAGTTCAAATCCATTTGTCATCAGGTGAGAGACGGGAGGCGATTAAAATGCATGTGCCGTTGGTCGTATTTGGTTGCGAAAATGACGTATAGAATAAACGCCACCTGGGCTTAACATGCATTCTAAGGTTGGACCATATGTTTTCGTCAGTACTGGTACTCCTGTTAAGTGATTGCATAAATGCATAAGGGAAGACCACAGATGTATCATAATTTGGTGCAGAAAATGAGGAGTAAGCGTAGGTTAAACAATCTTTCTTCGCGTGTTATATTTACAAAGATTTGATAAAAGTAATTGCATTGAGAAGTAGAAAATAAGAAGGGATCAAGGCAAGGTAACAAAGTGTTCTCACGAGAGGAGAAAATCAAAAATCGGCAACAAGGGAGCATTCACTAAGGCAAAAAACAAACATTTGCACATTAATGGCGACATGGTGGAATTCCCGATTGCAGTATACCCTTGCCATTAACAAACCAAATATAATCTCATTAGGTAGGCCATTACTTTACACAATATAGTGAGATGAAAGTAGTTGGGCCAAGTTTTATCGAATTTTTTTTCATTATTTGGTCAAATCCTCTAAAACTGAATGTTTTCTTAACAGCACTATCCCACTTCGACGAATGTCAGGACATCTAAAGAAAACGGTTAAGTGAATTTAAGATATATTGACAGATAATAAGTCTTTGTTATTTATGTGATGCTTTATTTCTTTAATTATTTTTCGGTATTTGTAATGGACCACTTAGGGTCTTCGTCACTGTGCCTCCTCCTGGCGACCTGGCCTTCAGTCCGTGCCAGTAGCCTCCAAGCCCTACAGTAGGTCGGCAATATGCATTCATTCCTAGTATTGCCTTCTTTCACCTTTGGAAAAGCCTTGAGAAGCCATTTTTGCGTGGATTCGCTGCTAAATGCGCAATAAAATGCAAACGATTTATACTCCTTTTGGGCACTGACGCAATACTTTTAGTAGGTAGATCCCTTCATTTCCTGAAAATAAAACTTCGCTTATAAAATTTGTTTCGCCACACTTTCACGATACAATCACAGCTTCGTCGTAAATCGGTATTTAGTTAGCTGAGCTCATATACTATCTAGATCCTTACCTAAGTCTTCGATGTCATAGTCTAATGTCGGCGCCATATGCCCAACCAGATCACGGCACCTATGTTATCGTCCATCATGTGAAGTGCTGAGTCCTAGGATGGTCACTATCTCCTAATCGAGCACTTCAGATTTAAGAACTTTTAAAAATTCGGCAAATGAGGAACAAAAAACGCTATTTCTCAAGCCACAGTTGCTGACCTTTTATTGCCGTTGCTGGGTGCAACGTACTCATTAAAATGGCACCATATGTTGTGTGTTTCAAGGTGGGCTGATTTTCATAATATTGCCTCACGAATATACATTAACGGATTTTTTACGAAGACATATTAATCTTGGAGAAGGTAGTTGTGGAGTTGGTAGCATTAATGGGAATACTGGAATTGCGTCACTGAATTATCGCATGACTGACAACCAGCGTGTGCTCAGCGCCCACAATTACTCTCAACTAGGAAGACACTAAGGGTCTTGTATAATTAAGTCTAAACTTCAGTAAGAAAAGATATAATAAACGAAGAAATAGGGTCTTGGTATTCAAATAAAAATTTGATCGTATTTTATGTCTAGAGCAAAAATATTATCAGTTCTTTCCGCACAAGTACAGCGTTAGCGTAGCGTCAGATATGAAGGGAAATTGTGGTGGATCCAAGTCTATCAGGTGTTTATAATAAAAAGGGTTTTTTGGGACAGAAGGTGCTGTCAAAATAGCAAACATTGGTTGACTGCATGATTAGTGAATTACCGAAAGTTTGTAGGACACAATCTACCTCTTCGTTATGGTGCTTGTCACATTGGCAGTTGTCATTTAATCCATATCGAATTATAGTCATGAGGCCACCTAAGACTAACACTACTTTACGTACGATGATATCGCACTGAGAAGCCGTAATTGGGACCACGGGAAATGCACAATATTCCCATCCGTAAATTTTTATTTCTTAGTTCTGATTGCCTACATTGAAAAATAAAAAATCACATTTACGATATCTTCAAATCCAAATTGTGTTGGTGGGAAGCAAATGTGGGCAAAATACGCTCTCTTTGGAGAACAATATCACATGTTGCCTAGTTTCCATGCGATGCGACTCACTGCGAAAATTCACATTGCACATGATCTGATGGAAAAGTGAGTAGGATACAGATTAGAAGATTTACCAAAAAGCCTAATGCTAGAGACACTAAACTTTACAATTTTGTAAAGTAATTATAAGAAAAGGACCCATATCAGTCTGAGAGAAGTATCCATTGAGTGAAGAGATGGCAGAGAGAGTAGGTGCATGACAGGCAGCAGCATGCTGAGGATTTTTCTTGAGAGATGCTAGATCACACGTTGAGAAGGATACGGAATCTGACAAAATGTTCCAGAGCTGCCGCGAGCATCAACGCTGCAATGCAGATGATTTGCAATTAAGACTCCTCTTTTGCCATTCGCAAGGCATTCACCATTCCGTGAAAAACAAAAGCGAAACTCGGATCAAAGCAGCTAACAAATCTCTCATTAATTGACAGCAGGCTTATAAAAGCATTGTAAAAGCAGTCTGACAGATGCGGTGGATGCCCAGTTGATGAGTAGATTGTCCTTGTGTTATGAGACTGACAAGGTTTTTACTTGGGTTTATCAGTCGGTTTACAGTGAATGCAATTTTCTGTGTGTCAAGGTCATTAGTTAAAGTTTTTTCGAGCGTGTTTTGTCAGAAACACGAAGGCTAGCTACAGTAAAGGCATTATCACATTAGCAGTGATTAGCACATGAACACTCAAACGTTCTCACAGTAATCTTCATTTGAATTAAGTGTTTCCCATTACTGCAAATCGAACTAACCGTTAATATTTGGAATTCGACCCCAATTAACTCAAATCTTTCCTATGTTCCTTAAAACAAACATGTCTGATGTGACATGCAGGTATTTAAAAATTATTGGTAAAGTTTCGTTTTTATGTTTTCAGCCATATTTTAAAACCCATCGCCTAATCATTTATTACTTTTTAAGTGCTTTTCTCCAACCTTTGATATTTCAGTAGAGGGTTGTGCATACAAACCAAATGCAAACAAAGGTTTTATCCCAACGAAGGCATTAGTGAGGAATGTACGTTTTTGGCTTGTGGGAGAAAATCAAGAAGTGTTAATGATTCCGTTACACAACTGGATTGTGTATTCCAGGCCAGGGCAGTGTTTCAATTCTATTCAATGGATAAACCGATAGAAGACAAAGGAAAAGTGATATTTACAAATCTACAAAAACACACTTTAATTAATTTAATGTTCGATAGGGTTAAACATGAACCACGAATATTCACCTTTTTTTAAATTTGAGTAAATGTTTAAAAGAGATATTGGATGAATCCCTAAGTTTGCTGTCTGAAGGTACATATAAGGTTTTGATAATCACACGAATAATATGTAGTCTCTAGAAAAACTTAAATTTTTCAATTCTCACATTGCCTATTTCAAAGTTGATTTAATTGGTAGGACGGATTCTTTTAAAACGGTTGTGCAGTGCCTCGAGACTTTCCTGACTACGAATGAGGACACAATACTTGGACAAAATATTAACAACAAACAGAAGGAATTGGAAATGTACGATAGCGAGATAAACAAATAGCGTATTACATAGCCCCTCTCTTCTGAGCATCGTCTCCAGAACTTCCCTTTGCTAGCCTCCCACGTCAATCACTACCATATAATTAATTTTACAAGAAAAAAAACCCACTAGTCAAATTAAATTTTTATGAAATTGAGGTGGTACTTAATAGCCATTAATTTGGTCTCCTCTTGGCAATTCCACCCGATCTGAATTTCCCTCCTGTGTGGGAACTGTACCGTACTATACGCGAGTCCATCACTGGTCGTAAGAATACTGACATGAAGACAAAGCCATGCAACAATGGACAGGGTTTAACAGAGTCCCATAGATATAAGGTTTTGTGTCAATTCCTCCTTGCATTTTTTTTTGCTTTAGTGTTGCCCAGTCACAACCACCTGAGTTCCACCTAGCTAGTAGAGAAGTGGAGGAAGTATCGCGTTTACGTAAAAGTATTGTGGACAGCTCCATAATTAACATTTTCTGATGTTTCGCGACTATTATCACTTCAGTTGTTTATAGCTTTCCTGCAGAATACAGGACTAAGGTAGTCACCGAAGGTAGATGTCACTTTCAGACCTTCTGCTAGGGGATGTCGCATATTCCCTCATCTACGACATGTGCCCTTCTTCCAACAAATTGTCCTCTAAAGTAGATTTTGGTATCCACTGTCACCAGTGTACTGCCTCCCAGGGTTTCTCTGAAGATAAAAGTAGACTTAACGCTCAAGCATACAGAAGGGACTGGGACTACCGCTATAGTTCGGAGGCCAAGTTGCCAGGCGGATGTACACTGGCGGGGCCTTAAGTGGTCTGGTACCAAAACCGAGAGTTAAACGAAACATTTAATTACTACAATGGGTTCTGTTTGAATACAATTACGAAGTCAATGATCCTGCCCACAAAATCATAGATTATGTTAATAAAATTGTGAATGGAGTGGCAAATTTGTATTCCTTGCTTACGATGGTGATTTACTCTGGGTCACCACGTTAACGCAATTAACTTTCGCAACCCTAAAATTATAATTCGCACAATTTGATCAAACTGCTCCAATTTGCTTCGAAAGAGTATTCTTCGTATTCTTTTTGTGGGAAAATGGTGAGCAAATATGAACCTTCTAAGCAATAAGTTATCCTTTGTTAAATTTGATTTCTTGTTCTCAGTACTGGTGGTGCTGTTAAACTCGAAGTTTTACAAATTATTCTTATCGTTTATAAGGACTCTTAGAGAATAAATATAGATTTTGAAAGGGGATGTCACGACTGTGAAAGTATTCATTGTTATGGCTACATTATCAATAGAAATTAGTTTCATTTAAAGGGTGTAAAGGAAAGCCGTACAATTTTCCCCCTAATATATATATATATATATATATATATATGCACGAAAGAGGCACGCAAATTCCTCCTTAATTTGAGTTTAAAACTTTATACTGGAATTTTATAAAATTCCTAGGCTAATTTTGACATATGTAGAATACATGTTTCGCGATACCATCAAGATAAACACTACACAACGAAATATTATAGCACAAGGGATGCATGAACACGACCACATGTTGTTAGAGAGAATACTTTCTTACTCAGGTTTTTTGGTCTTCTTAAAGAGTTTTCAAATGCCCTGAAAATTATAAATCACACCCAGATACTTAAGGCAATACTACACATTCAGCATCAAAATAATTCTCACGCCTGAAAATTTCCTAATTATGCTCCCATTCTTACAATAGAAGAAAAGCTAATGTCGTAAAAGTATTTTAATGCTTGATGATAAAAAAAAATTTTAAAAACATAAAATTATAACATCATAAAGTGTTGTAAATGAATAGTGTGATATCCAGACAATTTCAGAGATATTCTATCTACTGTCAAAAATGGAGCCAATTTTACAAAAATTGTCATTCATCGCTATTAATTTTGACAGTATTGCTCCTCTAAATCACTCTTCTCCACTAATGTCACTGAGCATGTGAACCTGAAGCGCCTGGAAGAAGGCGAGATTGAAGAGGGCAAAGTAGAGGAAAGTGAGGAAGAGGACGTTGAGTGCGAGGACGTAGGAAAGACCCAGGAGGAGACTCACTCCACCCGCCTCCCCACATGTCACTCCCATTGCCGCACTGTACGCCGCGTGCGCCTCTGCACAGGGAAACAGACTGGCAGTTAGTCCCTCAAATCGCCTTCCTCCATCCACTTTCATGTAATCCGCCAGATTTTTAGCCAGTCTGTCATACTGCACCCCCACTTCTTTTGTCAATTTGGCACTTTCTGCTGCCTGAAATGTAATTTAGCATTGACGAAGTCGCTCTTGCATAAAGAGAATACGCAAGTAGGTACCTTAGAATGCCGCCATTCAAACTACATCAATGAAATTTCACCATGTCATTAAACGTCAGAATATAATACAGGGTAAATTAAAATGTTTTCTTTTCGGAAGAAAGTTTGACGAAAGGAAAGTCTAAAATACAAAGGAGTGTGGCATTCATCTAACAGTCAAGGCTTCCATCGGGATGAACCGATGGATATGCTTGCTATTAAACATGGCGCAAGTATTTATTTTGCAAGCAAATATCAAACAAAATCCGAGTAACAGGATAACATTTTCAGTAAGCAGTGATGGGTAAAAGGGAACAGTTCCTTTTATTAGCAGTAACAATTGGTCAAATGTGAAATGTTACAAACTTACATCACGAGATAATTTGAGAGAATTTATTGCTTCATGCAAAGGACCCAAAATATTCGGCTTTTGTGCATTCAAAGTTTGGAGAGATTTACGCGTATTCGCCATTTGTGACTTGATCCCAACCATTGTCTCAATAGCCCTTGAAAGAGCTGCATTTGGCTTCTCGAAAGTGGCATTTGTAATGTTGCTAAGTGCAGCAAATTGTTCCATTTTTTTAAGAAGTATCTCGAATGATGAAGTGTTCATGTAGTCCGGATTTGTGGTATTTATTAACTCCTTGAGGGAATAACATTAGCGATTTAGGCAACCACCAACAGTGGATATAAAACTGGGTTCACTTACATCTTAAATCCTATCGCATGCAAATTGTTGTTAAAAAAATGCAACACCAGTTGTTCACACATCTACATCAATATAAAGGGAGGACAACAAAGAAGAAAGTTTTGAGGGTATTTCCTAAAAATCTCTCTGATACACTAAGGAATGTTTCATCCTAATTTATGTAGGTCATGTGTTGGAGGTCAGCTTCATGCAACCAACATCCTAACAACATTGCAGAGTATCAAATACCAATTGACTGATAAACAGCAAACTTACGTTCAACGTGAGATTGGTGATTGTTTCATTTAATTTTTTTTGTATTTCTTCTATCTCTGCCTCACTAGGTAGATTTCCAGAAATGTTAAGACTTCCAATTTGTTTGAGAACAGCTCTAGAAAATCAAAAATCAAAATAAGTGTTCAAGTCAGCTTTAGTCATCTACTATTATAACAAATGTCTCGACTTTTCCAAACAACCCTTTCAGCCACTGCGATATGATTATCAAAATATAATATAAGTAGAAGAAGAATTGGAGCTAGAGTAGCAGAAGTTTAGGTTTCCTTCAAATTAATCAGAATGCTCAATTGTTAACCGAATAAAGAGGCAATTTTACAATCCACATTCAATAGTTCAGATTCAACTAAGTGATTCTGAGTTTTCGTTCATTATTCCGTCTAACCATCTAAATTAAACCTGAAAGGTGGCTACATGTCAACAAGGAAAGCTGTCAAGGACTTTGGAGAAAAAAGACCATAAAGCATACTCTCTTCCTTGTTGAATGCCTTGTATCACTTCCGGTCTGTTGACAAGTTTGGATACACTGATTAAGCTCTGGTAACCCACTGCGGAGAGGAGACCGACTACATGCTCACTTGATTCCCTGTTGCAGGTCCGCGTCAGGGCAAGAAGTATGTTCCTTGGAGGTGAGGTGTTCAGGAAATCAGCAGTTCCACCGACAGCATCACCAATGAGTGATTTCCATTGTTCAGCCACGAGACTGTTGACAACGAAATCCGATTTGTTGACAGCACTTTCTCGCACCACGTACATGCATCCCTCACCTACATCCGGAAACATCCACTAGCGTTTCGACATTTATACACGCATTCAAATTGTGCATCTCCCCTCCCCTCTCTATACTCAATCCATAGTCCATTTGTCGGTTCGCATACCTCATGACTTACAAAAGGTGTACCTTACGATGACATGTGCAAGTGTAGGCAGTGTTAAGTGAATAAGGAAATGGCGAGTGTTGTGGCAAGCAATGTGAGCGACTAACTGGATATTGTGGTCAACGCGAAGAGGAGAACGGCAATGATGGCAGCAAACATGAGCAGTATTGGAATGAACAGTACTGAGCAGCAGCACACCGACGATTTGCTACACACAACGTTGTCCCACTTGCTATTTGTTGAACCTAAATTCAAATGCAGTCAGTGAAATGCCATAACACCTGGGAGGTACGAGTCCGCCTAACACTCGTCAACATGCAAAAGAAACACAGCATTCAAATTTCCACTTTCAAGTGATTTAACAATGCAGTGTGATTCAGTGTTTGGGCGAAGTCTTGTAAATGAGCAATGAGTGCATTGCAAACGACATGTGAATGAAGTGGGAGGAGGGAGGGAAACGAACCAATGGAAACGGTGTTGGGATCAGCGAAGAGACGGTCGCGAACAGCTCGGTAAACAAGGCGCGTGGCAATCAGCGTTGCGATTACCATCATGGCTGCAAACACGCCACCCACAACATAGAAGCCAATTCGAATGTATTTCACGTATTTGGGAACCTGTGTCTCCACTGAGCGGATCATGTCGTTGAGTTCTTTCAGCAATTTTTCTGATTGAGACTGGGCATCATTCCAAAATGGCTCAATCTGGTCCAATATTTGAGCTAAATTGAGCTGAGTTTTTAGGGTATCCAGAATTTCCTTTGTTGAGTTTTGAAGCTTGGTGATGGTTTCTCGAACTTCTTCTAGTGGTCTTGATAAGTTCCCAATGGTCCGATTCAATCCCTCACCGAATGTTTTTATTACAGTAGTATTAACTGCGTTTAAAGACACTGGACTTTTAAATTTTGCGACGGTTGCCTACGAATAGTAAATTCCTTAATAAGGTGTCTGATAAGGGTGAAAGATAAATACGATGGAAAGATATTGGGGTTATATTATTGGATAACATTGCAATCATTGAGTACTACTTAAGCAATTATTAGTTTCCTCAAGTGTTTCATACATCATAATTATCTATAGTCTTCATGTTCATACAATAAGTAATAGCTTTAAGACTAAATAGCGCCTTCTCAATGCTCAAAGAATTACTGCTTTACTTAGTTGACTAACTGTGCAAGAGGATTATTAAACCAGTGCTGATGGTAAACAACTCACATTTAACTTCTGGCACTCTTCCCATGCATTACAGTTACTGACTTTGCCAAATGCTTCAGCATATGAAACGCGAACATCTGTCAGTTCCTTGTCAAGAGATACGGTTGCATTGTGGAGAGAAGCAATATCTCCGTAGACACTGTTCACATAGGAAGAAAAAGTCTTCATAGCTTCCACAGTCTTCTCGCCCTTTTTCAGTGCATTTCGCACTCCCAAGTATCCCAGCAACCTTTCGATTGTATCCAAGACTTCCGCGTAGATTTTGTCCTGAAGGAAAGCACAGAGTTGGCAATGCGAGAGGTGAGCAATTTATGACAGCTTAAATGCATTTCACGATTGATTACTTTCCAACTTTTTCTAATTGGCTCAACTTTCTACCTATACACCCATAGTTTGTTTAACTCTCGAATTCTCTAACTCGGCCACTTAAAGTGCTGCCACTGCACTGTGCTGATCAACATGGCCTCCAAGTCACGCCACTAGTCCCCCAGTCATCCTCTCCCCTCGCAGTGCATACTCTGCCAAGTATTGTGACTTCTTCTGGCCTCAGGAGAGGCATTGCTTGCTACAATTTAGTAAGTCTCCGCAGACTTTACAAATTTATCACCATTTGACGCAGCACGCAATGAAGTATGAAGAATGTCAATATTCAATGCCTTTATCACATACGAGGTACAAATTAAACAAGATGATGAGTGCAACTATTCCACCTTTCTCCACAATCACTACTAACACCTCCATTTGCATCAGTTATGATGGAAGATTTACACTAAGACCACACCAAACTCCCAATCAAGCCATCGTGATACAGGCTTAAAGTGTTACAATTTGCCATTCAGTGTCTCATTTGCGGTATTACGGATGCACTGCCAATAACACGCATGGAGTGGAGAAGAGTCAGAAGGAGGAGGAGGCGGTGAAGTAGAAATATGTACAGAGTGACAGTGGAAACAACGCTTTCACATGCATCCAAGTGTCGGTTAAGATTGAAGTTACAAATGCGATGCACTCACGTCAGTCTGCTGGATGAATTCATTGAGCACCCTCTTGGTGAGCGTACGACCGTTGGCAATCCCGTTGCTGACGAAAGAAGACGCATGCGATATCGTGGCACGTAGTCCATCAGGTAGGGAGATAGGCGTGTGATTCGTCGGTGGCTGTGGATTCGTCTCGAGATAGGAGACAACCAGTCCAGCACTGCTGAAGTACACAATCAGTAGGATGATGGAGACTGCCAAGAAGACCAACGCGAGTATTAGTAGCACTGTGTAGACGATACGGAAGATGAGCTGCTTGTTGCGGAAGTCGGACCGCAGTGCTGCCATTTGTAGGGCATTCATCGAACCATGGTGCTGCAGAACAAGTGAGGAACAGACATACACATTTTGCCTGGAAATTAGAGCATTGCGAATTTGAAGTGATTTTGTGAGAGTGGAGTGCTCTCCACATCAAACACTACTGATAAGATGGCAGAATTGAATGCTGTGTAGAAGAAATGAAGTGGTGGCATCATCACTCAGGTAGCTGTTGTGCACATCCTACATCTGCAAACACAACACAAATCACCACCAAGTATTCCTAATTCTTCGTGTCACGTTTGGGGTAAGACTTAGCTAAGAATCGAATGACGTTATATGCGAGTCTCTTCAATGTTTCTAGAGACTCTGTCACCTCAATGCACCGTCATGCTTGTGGTCCTGACATGCTTGCATCCCACAAGGCATCAACACAAACAATGCACTAATAAGGGCAGCCTATCCATCGCGAAACAGGATACACTTACATCTTTCTTCTTGTAACAGCAGCAGCAGGAGTTGATAACCTGTATTAAGACAATGAGCACGATGGCGAGCAGAAAGGTGGCCACTGTGATCCAGAAGATATTCGGTCCACGATTTGGGTTCGCGTGGGCACTGTCAACGCCTGCCTGACCTCCACCCAAGGACTCCGGCATAGCTTGGAGAATGGGCAGTGGCACGGGTTTGAATAAAAGCATGTTCTTGAAGTAGCCAACAACCGGTTCATCCAATTTGGAGATCAAACTGAACTGCGGATCTTGTCCCAAGGGGGTGGCGACGATACGGAAGAGCACATTGAGAAGACCTCCGTTCTCCGTTCGAATAACCCATGTCATTACAGCCGCCACTGTGGCGATCAACGAGAACTGAAGTCCCATCACTGAAGCAATTCTCCCTAAAATGAGGCAGCAGTAAGCTGAGGTTACAATGCAGCATTAACATACTTGCAAATAGAATGTGCAAGCACGAACGTACAGGACTGGAAAACGAGGATATAAGCACACTATATATACACTTCCGAATATATAGAGAAGTGCCAGCAAGCTCGCAAATAACAGATGAATTGCTCTAATTGGATGATACTAGTCACAAGTGAAAAATTACGCCAATCTCACCAATCGCCTCATCCGCCTACGCAAACAGGTCACAGCAAGCATAAAATGACCTCATAACTAGAGTAGGCAGATGTATGAGATTAAAAAAACTGGTGACTTACTATCAAGGAAAAATAAATAATTTGGTCATCTGATTTACATTATCTTCGTCACACCGTGTATTTTCTTTAGATATAGAGGAAATAGGTGATTAATGAGTGTGTTGGGAAGGGCAGTAACTTGATTCCTATTGGAATTAATGAAACTAATTTTACAAATCGAACTCTCTGTGAATTACTGAGCACTATGAAGTATTTCCTGATCAATATGCCAAACTTTCGCATATAAATATATTTTTGATATTTCGCACATTATGCCCTGCACTTTCAATTGTGCAATCCCAATCACATGCCCTCAATCCCATGGCACATGGCAAGAGATATTTCATCAAGTGGGCTGATTTATACAACCCACATCTCCTTCACTTTCAAACACTTGATAAATCTTCTACAAAGTTTTCACTTTATTTAAAAACCGTTGCTAGATGGGGTGTTCCGACCCAGGTTATTCCACTTTATGAATTTCTTCTGCCAAATGAAGATTTAAGATATAATCATTGGCACCTCTAATTAAGCAGTACGGCCTCTATTTTGTAGAAAAAAATACCACCACGACAACACAAACAACATCAAACGTATGTAAATGTTTGCTCAAACTCAAGCATGACATAGCTCTGGTCCAGTCGGAGAACAAAACCACTTGCATCATCCCGTGATGACCATGTCCGTACAGTTCCCCTTTAAGTTCGCACAGCCTCATCACTATCGTCCTCCTCATCGCTTGTGGCTGATTCACTGCTCACACTGACACTACTGGAGCTGGTCGACTCATCGGACTCCTCACTCTCATCATCGTCATCACTGCTGCTGTCCTCCTCCTCCTCCTCCTCGGCTGACATGTCAATTAGAACTCCCTGGAAGAAGGCGAGGTTGAAGAGAGCGAAGTAAAGGAAGACCAAGAAGAGGACGTTGAGTGCGAGGACATAGACGAAACCGAGGAGAAGATTCACTCCTCCACATGTGGCTCCCGTCACCGCACTGTACGCCTCGTGTGCCTCACGACAGGGCAGCAGTTCTTGTGTCAACTGTGCAAACAACTCACTGCCATCCTTCTCCATGAAACTCGTCAACTCCATAACCACTCTGTCGTACTGACTTCCCACCTCCGATTCCAGTGCACTCTCATTTGACGCTTGCTGAGAGGGACGGAGGGAGGGAGGGATTGAGGGAGAGAGTGTTTTCTGGATTACTGTGTTTTAATGTCAATTTATTCAATCACATTGTGAAGCTCAATGCTCAACTCTTCATGGCTACTTTCTCCAACACACTTGATTTGACTAGTCAAGCTGGGCTTGCTTGTTGGAATATTGGTTAAATATGGCTGGCAGAGCTGAAATGTCAGGTTAAGTGGATCTACTTTGAGCAATTATGGCATGATGTTATCAAGTACTCTTCCATACTCTGGGGAAAGGGATTAAGACTTAAAGGTAAGAGAACATGGTAAAATACGAAGAAAAGTACAAGCTTACAGAAGTAGTTGCCTTTAGCGCCTCTATTAAACCGTTGAATGGGGATCGAAATTCTTTCTTATCGTCATTCACTACGTTGATACCTGCATGAAGGTGCTCTATTTGAGGCCTTGCTCCAACATGGAAGTCGTCACATTTTGCAATTCTTTGGTTAGTTTGGCAATGCCGGTATTGAATAAATTCTCGAAGTTTTGCATTCTGGAGAAAAAATCTACAAAGAAACAGGTACTTATTAATTCTGTGGCTGTTGTAGTTATCAGTTTCTTTGGGGTAAAATTCTTCTACGTCATTCTCATTCTGGGGAATCATTGTGAACTAATGTGGACTGAGCAAGCCTAATAAAGTGTATCACAAAGAAATAAATACTGAAAATAAGACCAGCTTGAGTGACTGGATTCGAATAATTCAAACTAAGATTTTCTCGCTCCTTGATTTATCCGTTTGCAATGTACATGGGGATTTGCATCGTGCCACTTTTCAAACAACATATTGATGCTACATACCTCGCAACCACTAGGTAACTTTAATCCACCCAAGTTAAACCACCCCTTGAAGGAAACGGTTTCACATATCACTGAAATCTAGTTGCAAAATGCATACCCATTGACCACAATCCCTGAAGATTGCATTATGTCGACAATGAAAGCATCAGCCCCTCAGGCTCACCTCTTGATTGTCCGTACCAGAGCATGATAAGATCCAGTCAGCGGGCAAGTCGAAACTCTCCATCAGAGATCCTTAGAACTGAACCAATTGCTTACGCTTTGACCAACTGCTGCAGATTTTTGCACTTTCACCCACACCACCCTCAGACCAAACATACTAATGCTATGGATTCGTTAGGGGCAATATCATGGCGATCCACCATCATTCACACTCCGGTTCTACATTCCACTACTCCTTCTTCAGCAAATGTGAGAATATTACCTGATCCAATTTCACCGAGTTAATGCAAATCTTTCATCTGTTTTACGACGATGCTTAAAGTAGAAATGAATATGCCACACCAGCCCGATGCATTTTATGCCCACTATGCCAATGGTCCAGTAGAGTTCTAATTTTTAGAAGACTTATTTTCATTTGCTTCATTTCCCATGTATTACAGGGTGAGCAACTAGATGTTCCTGCCCTATTCCTTATTTTATTGGGATTACACAATTAATATTATTAACATACCGATCATTTTAGCACAAGTACATAAATGAACTTTAGAATTGTGCATTGCTTTGGCTGTTTGTTTAACTCTTGATTCTGACGAGGGGAATGCATCGTTCCAAAGGCATTGTAACTTCATTAGGTGGGTGGCCCTCTGGAACATGCTGGCAATTCTAAGCCATGCTGATGTCGACAATACATTTTCTGTCTGAGCATTACGTCTTCCTTTGCTGTAGAACTCCAACTTTAAGCTATTTAACAACGCCATCTGATTACGGTCTTTTCAAAGATACACAGCACAAATCAACTGCAGCTCATTATCACCCACGCTAATGCATAGAAATATCAAAATCAAACGAAGATAACACATACACCCTTCCACTGCTAATTCCATCCTGCACCTTCTGGCTATTCACGAGCTTTTGCACATCCACCAGATTCTCGTACTTCATGGCAGAAAGAAGGCCTACAATCGCCTGGTCCTCTGCGTAATCACAGGTCTTCATCAGGGCAGTAAGCACGTTTCGTGGTGGAGAAGCATTCAGCAAACTGTCCCCATTCCCACCGGTATCACCCAGGATCGAGCCCCACTGCTCAGCCACGAGGCTGTTCATTACGAAATCTGTTTTGTTCACAGCACTTTCCCGAGACAGATATATGCATCCCTCACCTTTCGCACAAAAGACAACATGCAATGAAAGCATTTCCTTTGCCACAAACCTACTGACTGTGCCAAGCATGAATAAATTTATTCACTTACTCACGATGCGCAAGGTTATCACACCTAATTCAGCTTTTACTACCTCCTTTAATATACTGCTCGTGGTCACTTACAGTGCCAATTTGTGTAAAAATGCTTGATGATATCACACCACTAACCTGATATTGTGGTCAGCAGGAAGAGCAGAGCGCCCACCAGGATGCCGAAGATAAGCAATACTGGCACGAAAAACACTGAACAGCAACAAGCAGAACATTTGCCACACGCAAGTTTATCCCACCCATTGAGACTAGAACCTAAGCATGGGGAGGGTTTTCAAGTTGAAAGAAAGAAAGGAGTCAAATTATGGATGTTGAGGGGAATGTTCATGTCAAATGTGGAATTTTACTTATAAAAAGCCCAAAATGCGATGCTATTATGATGATACTGTGTGCAATATGCCGTTTTTTGGCAGTGCACATGCAACATACCTTATCAGGACGCTGTTAGCTAAGATGGCAGGCAGGAGTAGTGGTGATTAAAATTGTAAAATGAAGAGATAAGTACTTATGCTAAAGACTTTAAGCGCACAGCGTGATGTCGTGTTCAGACTGTAAGCAGTAAAGTCCATACATTTTCGTCAGCGGCTAGCAGCACAGCAGGCATTTCCGGTGAAATTTACTGCATGAAACTTCTGTTACAAAAGAGTCAAATTCTCCTATAGAAAAGGATGATACTAATATTTGCGAATGCTTGCAACATGGAAATGTTAGCTCTTTCTGTGTACTAAGACAAGTCTAAGTTGAAAAAATATTTTATCATGAAAGTTTAGGGTTTTCTCCATAATGAAACCTAGGTAGCTTATTTTGCTCACAGTTAGAAAGGGCTGTCGCGACTGAAGGATTATATCAGCACTGTTGACGACATAAGTAGACGATAATTTTCCTCTACATCTTTTCCGTTTGTCTTTTACCTGCACAACCTTGAATTCTGCCATTTGACTTGGAAACTCCTGATCACTTTTGTTTGATTTACAGTGGATCAGATGGGATATTTTAACATACCAAAGGGAGCGCGAAGTCTGTGCAATAATTGCAATTCCAAACCTACCAACTGAAACATCATCTGGATCGCCGTAGAGCCGATCTCTCACACCTCTGTAAAGAAGACGAACGGAAATGAGGATTGCGATAAGCACCATGAATATGAAAAATCCACCGATAGAATAGAGGGTAATGCGAGCTAATTCAGCGCCCTGTGAAACTTGTGTTGTTATAGGCTCAATGGCATTTCGTATGTTCTGCACTAGCTCTTGTGACTGTGTCTCGGCTCGTGGCCACAATTCATCGACGGTGCTCAAAATTTGCTGTAAGTTAAGTTCTTTTTCCAGTGAGGCCATGATTTGATCTGCTGAGCCTTGGGTATCATTGATTGCAGTTTGAAGTTTTTCTTGCTGTTTAGCCAAATCATTGTGAATGGTATCTAGCTCCCTGGCTAATGTGTCCAAAACGCCATCAGTTAATTTTTCTGGGTCAAAAGGACTTTGTAGCTGCTCTACTCTTTTCTAAAAGGCGAAAGAAAATTAAAATATATAAATTTTACTACTGAAAATTAAGCATATATCCATTTGTTAACTTATTAATTTTGAGGTCTATATTTCGACTCCAGATAAGGCCCCGGGATTTATCCTCTCCATAGCAGTTTTACCTTATCTTCCCCCTAATAACGATTTCTCACTCATTAATTCCGTTTAATTGGTATTTTACCTACTTTTTTGTGATATATTGCTTTGGACAACTGTGACTGAATGACAAAATAACATTAAGCTCCTATTCATTTTACCCCAAAAAATAATGCTCTGCCATCTATTGATTTTTAAAAAATTATATATAAAATTAAATAAAAGTAGACCTACTTTCAAGTCTTCACAAGTTCCATCACAGAGTTTAATTTTATCAAATTCCTTTTGGTACATGCTTTTTGTTTTAGCAACTCGATTTTTAACATCAGTGATATGTGTTTGGAAGTTTTTCATCATCGAGCTTGAAGAATCGGCATTGGCACTGCAGTTTTTGATAGCGTCTAGATTCGACTTGCCCTTCTCGACGACACCTGAAGCCTTCAGATAGTCTAGTAGGTTGGAAATGACTCCATGGAGACCCAATGATATGTTCTTCTAAAAGACCTAATAACCGACTTATGCGACCTTAATCCGAGCTGATTTGATTCATGGTACCCTTCAATATTGCTTGCAGGTAAGGGCCAATTTTTTTAGCCAAGTGCAGTTCATACGAACAAAGGCTTCCGACTTCTAAAATACCTACTTGGAACGGTTAAAGCAGGCTTGAATTGTGTTTGCCGTTAAAATATGAAGGTATCTAAGATACTCAAGTCATTTTAGCCCATGCAAAACAGCCAATGTGAAGAATCACGGAAGGTGCAACTAAACAGTGGTAAAGTCTATTTTATCACCTGTCTCAGTATGGCAAATTCGTTTTTCTTCCTCTACAACTTGACAACTAAGACATTGTGCATCCTGTGCTTGGTAACACAACTGAATAGACTGAAAGTTTCTTAGAAGAAATATTTGCTAGTGGGAATCAGTAGCTCTGCTCTTATAAATTAAGTATATAAATGTTATTTTACATTGTATTCCATACACCACTTTAGAGCCTTTGGAAAAGACAACTCACATTTGTCTGTCGAACAAAGCTATCGAGTGATTTGTTAGTGAGTTTTTGACCCGATTTGATCCCACTCTCGATAAAGATGGATAAGTGTTTCACTGTTGCCTGCAGTCCATCAGGCAAAGGGGTGGGATTTGGTGTTGACGTTTGTGGATGTGCCTCAAGATAAGAGACAATCAAACCTGTGCTGCTGGAGTAGATCGCGAGGAGTATCACAGATGCTGTTACAAAGAGCAATGCAATCACTAACAAAGTGATATAGATGATGCGACACACCAAGTTCTTGTGCTCAAAATCCGTGTCAACCGCCACCATTTGCACACGATTTAGGTGGCGCTAAAATTAAAAAAAAATAATTTCGATTTAAGAAATGTCTACTGATTAAGACATGCAGTGGGTAATTAAGACAGCGCTGAAGATCAGAAGTGTGGAATCTCCCGGGACATAGGGACCAGAAAAGGTGAGGCTTGAGAACACCAGCTCGGGTAAATAGAACCACAACACAACAATTCAACCATTTACTCAAAGGCTTTATCTAAAATAACAAAGTGTAAACATAAATTCTAAAGCAATACCTTACATCAGCTATTTTTGAGGAAATTAATAATGATTATAAATAAATATTTTAAAGCAACATTTGTCAGAAAAATTATTTTCTGCCTTACAATAAAGTGCGGAGAAGGTGCCGTCAATTTCAATAATTTTAATGTGATGCCAAAATGTGGTAGTCATTAGCGACAAATGTGAGCCTTCAAATCGTGTCATTGTCACATCAACTTCCGCAAGTCACTGCCACAAGAATAGTTTTAAGGTCAAACGCTTTGCCAACGCTTTTTTTGACACCGATTTAAACAGAGGCGGTAAATTAAATGTTAAAACGTACGGACACTATTTACGCGTCATTAAAACGTTAGCAGGAACAGTATATTTTATATGAGAATGGACCACGATTCGTGGACTTAATGCGTTAAGTACAGGTATAACTTACATTCCTTCGTCCACAGCAACAACAACAGCAATTGATGATCTGCAAGACAATGATGAGAATAACAATAGTTCCCAGAAGACCTGTAGTAATCCAAAGTATCTCCGGTTCACGATTTGGATGAGCATTGGCGTTGTTAACCCCTGCTACCCCGCCACCATGGGACTCAGGCATGGCCTCTAGAATAGGTAGTGACAGGGGCTCCGATCTGAGCATATTGATTAAAAAGTCTAAAGCGTTGGGTCCACCACCTTCAGCTAAAGTAAACTGTGGATCCTGGGAATTTGTCGGCGAGTTCACAAAGAGTGCGTTCAGAAGGCCCCCATTTTCGACTCGAACAACCCATTCCATCACCGCCGCAACAGTGGCCATTAGGTGTCATCTCTAGACCCATGGCTTTGCTGTCCTTCTATTAAAACCATCTAAAGGGGAAAATATTGACATCAGGGTGGCATGAAAGTACGAACTGATGTATAGAAAGACGAAACTTACAATGTAGCAACTATAGCTAATTGTGATGCGGAGGTGTGGTGGTTTACATCGTCTTACATACGAGAAGATACAACTGTTGCATGTTTTCATTGGCTAATTAGCTACACCAGACCAGACTGGTGTCAACCATGCCACAGTGCTGAAGCATGCACCTTTTAACTCGCCTACGATGTCTGAGATTTCAGCTAAGATGATCTGCTAAACGCGTGTAAAATATTGCAGAAGAATTTTAAAAAATTGTTCAGTCATGTGACTTGAGGCTTCTGAGGGTGTGAAAAGGCTACCAACCTAGCTACGATCACGATTGAAGTGGATTTAGTATCAGGATTTTATAGGCATTTAACCTTATTATGAGGATGAAAACTTAATTAAATACGCCAAGTTTTAAACTACAAGTCTTACTATGGTCCCTTCCCAAACTTTAAGTGAACAAGTGATCTGTTTTTATTGGGTCATCAGTCATAGCGATATGATGATGTAGCAGCGAACTTCAATGAAAAGAACGGAATTTGGACACTAGTCGTATTTAAAATACGCCAATTATTAAAGTGTTTTCATTCAAATGTATTGAAGCTTCAGGTTTAAAAGCGGAAATATCTATGAGCACTTTTCTTTCGCTCAAGTGCTCTTTAAAGGCACTTCACATCTCACGAGTGTGGGTGAGCGACATGTCGGTCCTTGGTACTCTCTGTATCTCTTCAACCTGTAATTGGTGTAATTCCTATCTTTACATTCTGATTGTGTGAATTTTGTACTCAGTGGCTGTGAAAATGCTATGCTGGAATGGGGGTAAAATACTAAACTAATGCTTAAAGTAAAGCAGAAGCGAGAAACACTATGATAATGAAGCCATACATATCCTGTTAAAGTATTTGGCAATTAAGGTGTAGAAAACTCGCTCTTCACATTTCTTCCAAGTTTAAAGTTTGGTCACCAAACTTATGTTATCCAACCTCAAGCGAATCAGTTTACGAGAGACATGAAAGCAACATTTCTTGTTAATATTTAGTGCAAATAGCCTTGCGTAAATTTGTGCAGCTCGTATAAACGACCAACGGTCACTTGCGCAGCCAAATAATTTGTGCAGACCCTAGATAATGAATTAAATAATAGCACCCCAAGATCTCCCTGAAGGCGTAATTGACAAAATACTGGAGCGGAATACATATTGACACATTAAAGGATTTAGGTGCCACTGGCACGGTCCAAAGGCCAGGTCTCTCGGAGGAGGAACAATGGCGGAGCACCTAAATGGCTGCTATTAAAACCGGGAAGTAAACAAGCAATTAAATTCTTGCAAAATTTCCCTAAGTATGGCATCATTAGAGCATGTTATAGTAATCTTCTCATAGCTCCTCTGAACCTATTAGGTAGAAATAGATGAAGGGATACAGAACCATCACAGTTAAGCGTGTTACGGTTACATTGCCTCCTCAGGCACCGATGGCTTTCGATCCGTCGCCAGGCTCAAAGTACCGGCCGCCTCTGGCCCAAAAGGCAAATCAACCGTTTTTAAGCTTTTGTACTTTTAGCAAATGAAAAGGAATTAACACCGATTTTCTACTACCTGTACATTCTTTTTAAAAGCTCTTTTACACAGAAGTTTGATCTGGTCGCTTACCAGTTGATTTACCGCGGGTTAACTATAAATATTTTTCAATTTCGCGCAGCAATTTTAGTCTTTTAATCAAAATAAAAAAGACTGGAAACCGCTTAGAGGCAAATAAGAAGTTGCTCTCTTAAAATGCACCTATCAAGTGTTTACTGCTATGATAAATTTCAAAAGGCATGTGCATACTCCATAAGCCATTGATGGTAGATATTGTGACATCTAAATGCTGTAGCGGATTGATTCTGGTGATGGAGATAGAAGTCGCTTTTATCCTTCAATGCTTCACGAGAAGAATGACGGTGAACACGCACTGCTCATTGTGTGGCGGTGACAGCAGAAGAGTTTTTTTATGGATTCGGTGGATAGGGCTTGTGTTAATGCGGATGACTATAATGCGGTTGGCTAGTGTCTGAGTCGTGAGCGTATTTTGATAGTCTGGGACGCCGTGACTGCCCGTCAGAACTAAGAGGACATCAACTCCAAATGCATAGCCCTGAAGTCCTATCCACGGAACTGATTTGCCTGCGTGGTGGCAGTGAGTGTGGTGAGGAGTTGACCACCGAAATACCATCGAGAAATTCAGTAAGAGGGAATTTTTTAAGCTTTTTGAGTTTCGTATTTGCATGAAATTGTAGATTTGTTTAATTTTAACAAACCGCTGCTTGTTTTAGAGACCTTTACATTTATAACCAACAATATTGTGGTAATTTGAACGCTATAATTCGAGTTTTGCCCATATCTGGTTCAAATGCGGTTATGAAAAGAAATAAAACGACCTAACCACTGGATAGTTTTGCCACTTTAATCCTGGATAGTTTTTGGGAGAAGCTAAAAAGATGTGGCTAAGTTAGGGAATTATAAAGTGTAAAGTGTTTGTTTAGCTCTCGGTTATCATAACGGGCCGTTTGGGGGCTTCGCCACTTTACCTCCGCCTGTCGGTCTGGCCTTCAGACCATGCTAGCAGCCCCAAAGCCATTCTCTAAGTCAATAATACAGATTTTGCCTGAGTATTATGCTTTCTTTCTCCTGTAGGAAGGTATTTGAGGGCTACAACAGTCTTTATGGATTCTCACCTTCCTTTAGCTTATAATGCAATTGCAGTGGGAAGTATGTTTTTAACTAGGCTGGTTTTCCAGTCTCTTGACTTTTGCAGTCATAACCGTGGAGTCCTAGAGTTGCAGCTCTTTCGTTTTTATGAATGGGTTAGCCTTTAACAGCAATAGGCTGGTAAATCACTGTTATATGCACTTTAAAAGGGAGTTGTGAATGACGATTCACTTAAATCTGCTATTTGCATTGCTGAAGGTTGAGTGAAACGTTCACTAGTTTCAATAGCCGTAATGCATGGACTTCATTTCTGACTCTTAAGTAGTGCTACTCAGCTAACACAGTGAGAGAATCGTAGTGGGCACTGTGGACGACTCCCGGAAGAGGCGCGAGTGAGCTAATGGGACTCAATGACGTCTACTTACATTGCGTGTCTATACGCACCGGCAATTCAGTTCTGTGAGCTCATCACCTCCTAGGTCATCACCAACATCAATATAACAACGTTCACTTTGGGAAGCAGTCTTAGGTATCAAGAAGACTCAAATCAACCCAACAACTATGTGGTAGTTTTAACGGTTCCTCCAAATGCGGTAACATCACTGCACCCGACGAAGACAAGAAATATCAGGAAGTGAATCAAATGCGACTTCCACTTCTTCGAAGTCTGTGAGGAGAGGTGTTTGGATGTGCTTATTTTGACTCTAAAAGTAATGTTTGAAAAATTCTTTCCCCAAAACGCGATCCAGCTAATTAGGATGCTTTCTGGCAATCTGGTCATAAATCTATCTTCTAGAAGCAATGATGGGCCCATTTCTTTCATACAATAAAACTCTCAACAAATTTGGGCAGAATTCATTCCTCCTATAGCTCAAATAACAACATACTGTTTTACCATCTGTTTTAGGTTAGACATTTTCATATTTTATTCCGATAACCATCATTGGTTTGCATAATACACGCCTCGTTGTTATATGAATCCTATCTGTTGCCCCCTCTGAATGATAAGGATCAGGCGTTTTGCCACAAGAGTACGCACCTTCAATAATTCAGCCTTTGAGCTACTAAAAGCGAAGATAGTCAACTTTACATGGGTAATTACACGAGAATTTTGTGGTATAACTTACGTCAAATGAAAAATGGTACAGCCATGCGTTGGTGCAATTTAGCTGTCACCGGTGCAGTCACACTTCACTCGAATGGATTGCACTTATTCAACGTAGTCAAATGTCTCAAGTTTTACATCCGTGGTAGGCTAGGCATTAAAAACTCCCATTATTCCATTCGTGTCGCTAGTGTAATTTGTTAATCATTAAAGAAAATCGCTATGGAGAAATGAGGGTCAAAATAGAGGGTTGTTACTCCAAGAAACAAATTTTGCCTAAGGAATGTCATCAAATCTCAAGAGAGGAACTTGATAACAATCGCGATCATCGTTTTAGGCAAAGGTGGACCTGCTGGCATGCGACAATTATGCCTCAACTATGTGTTTGGTTGATTTAAACAAAGAGTCGCCGTTTTTGGTATCATAAATATAGAAGGGTACTACAATTGTCTCCTATCTTTGCTACAGGAGAAGCTAAACTGTCGAACGTCAAGCTACATGGTTATTTCTAAGTAATTTGAACTGAATTCCGATGCATCCATAATCGTACCAACTCCCATTATACATAAAATTGTAATACGTTAATTGTTCGTTTAAATTCCGGTTTTGGTAAAGGGGTACTGAGGGGCTCCGCCGTTGTACCGCCGCCAAGCAGCCTAGCCCCCGGGCCATGCCAGTAGCCCCAAGCCCCTCTCTACGTCAAGATTGCGCATTCCACCCGAGAATTATGGCTTTTTCCTTTTACAGGAAGCCTTAGCGCCTCACAATGACGGTGGCGGGAAGCTGATCCACTCCTGAAGGAAAACCACCATGATTTCCTTCACCTAAATGCCAAACCTTAACGTGACGGAATAAAGACTTGTGATGCGGATGAGAAACTTTGTGACGACCCTCAACAGGAGGGTTGAAAATGACATTCACTTTCGGCAGTTACTCCAGTCCCGTGCTCTATAATAGGAATGCTTTTAACAGCTGAAGCGATAATAGCCGTGAACCACCTGGAAAAGTTGTGCTACAGAGCTGTCTATGGTATCTGTATGAAGATACCGATTATGTGAACTCGCGATACCTCCTCCACCTCTCTACTAGATGGGCAGAACCCATACAGTTATTGCTGGGCAGCTCTGAAGTGGAAAAACGTGGCAAGTCGGGGCAGACTCAAAACTGTTATAAACCCCGTCCTTTGCTAAATGACCCCGTTTTGGGGTCAGTGTTCCCAAAACTAGCGATGGATATGGGTGATGACCAGCACAATCCCCATCCCCCAAAACAGCTGCCAAATAGGATGAAGCTCCAGATCCGGGGGAAGGACCGGGAGAATCAGTGATGCTGCGCTCGAGTATCTTCGCAGTCGCATGGAAATTCGATGGCTGGCACGGATGGCTCGTGAGTGTTTTTCCTATGGCACCGATTTCGGTGCGAAAGCTGACTCGGAAAACTGATCAAGGGAAGCATCGAAGGCTACGCCCAACAGAGGAGAGGGATTATGTACTGCGGTGGCTGTTTACCTCTCGATTTTGGTAAAGGGAACACTTAAAGTCTCCCTCCATTTTACCTCCACCGGGGAGCTACGTCACAACAATGAACGATAAAACACCGAAATGTAACTTGTGCCTAGGAAGTAACAATGATCTTCGAGGAGCCAAAACTGATTCTTAATCGGAACTTCTTAAATAAGTGTTTTTTTTAAAGGGAGATGACAATTTCGGAGGAAAGTGCTGATCTCACCCGTAGAGATATCTACCTACAAGCCCAAACTTGAGGAAATTCAGTTAAGGGATTCAAGGTAACAAGTAATTTCATGGCATTCCTAGTGAGGATAGTTGCATAGGACGACTCTAATTCAATTCCATTGATTTAATAGTACTTTTAAAGTTGTAGGGATTACCCTCACATTCAGTTTTGCCCCTCCTCAGTGCTGAAATGCAGATATCCACCCTTCACCAGGCAAAAATTGCTAAATTCGCATACAATCTAAAAAATTTAAAGTTTACTTAACATTGCTTTGTTCTTATTTTTCACGCTAAAAACTTATTTTTAGACATTGTTTGATTAAATTCGTCTCACGCTCTTCTAAATGCGGAGTCTACTACGAAAGGGGAATCTAGACCATGAAATTCTATACACACCTGGATTGTTGGGTAAGATTCAGCTGCCCCTCCTAAGGTGAAGCACGATAGAAGACACTGTGCTGGCAAGCTACATCCACCTCTCCTTCCTCCTCCATCAACTTAATCAAAATCGAAATCCTCATCCCACTGGCCTAGCATCCACGCACACCAGGGCACGCGGGTGGCGAATCAGGAGCGACGGCGTTTGAGAAGCCTCTCCTGCGTTGTATCATTGATTGTCCATCGTCAGCAGATGCTATCATTGGCTGGTCGCACCTGTCTGTCCATCCAACCGTCTCCACAGTCACAGTGTGCGCGCATGCGTACGGACATACGAGAGGGTGTCCATATGCATTCGTCGCTGCCGCTGCTGCTGCTGCTTCCACAGCTGCTGCTCCTTTTTCGGCTACTGTTGTTGGTGGAGGTGGAGAAGGAGTTGACTGTTGGCTGGCTGGCTATTTTTAGCTCCATCTCTCTCTCTCTCTCGCTCCCTCGCTCTTCCTCTCTGCTCGTCTAATTTCTCCTCCGACTGACTGACTAACTGCTCGACACCGGCGCCTGCAAGTTGCGGAGGGGACTTTCATTGTTTAACTCCCGGGATTTATTCCACGTGCTTATTCCTGCACAAAAACGGTAGGACTGTTTCCCATCTGCCTTTATTTGAGCTTTGTAGGTATGAGGGAGTTCCTTCATACCAAACCGTGATTGATAAATTCTACTAATTACATTCCCTTGTTGTATCAATTATACAACTCTGTAGTTTGTGACATACGAAAGTGGATAAAAACATTCAAAATTTTCACATTTAAATGGCGTATTTGGAGCCTGAGTGAAACCCATTGCTTTTCAACGGTAATTAAGATTTCTAATTTTCATGTTTAGTAACGTATTTCGAAAAATAGGTATTTAGAAATCAAGAATTGCATTGGAATTTTCTGCTTTGAGGAAAATAGTAAAAGTACCATAAGGCGGGTATTCAAAGAGAATGGTCTCATTTTAAATATGGAGTTCTTGAGTTCTCGATGAGGTATAATTTATTTTGATGTGTTTGCTTGATCTTTTTGTCCGACCTTTAACAAGCGTTTTATTTAATGACATTTTAAATGCCATGCAAGTTAAAGCAACTGTGCATTGTCCTTACGCTATAATTCTTGCATGACCTGTTCATGAGTCCCGGCTAAGTTACCTTCAAAATATCCCATTAGTTTCCAAGTCTTCGTCCCGAAATTTTTTACAAATTACAAACCTAACTAAAAGTAAAGATGAATTTTGTTTGTGAACTCCCGCCGAAAAAAAACGTTTAGGGCGGCTGGTGAATCTTTCCTCAGAAATTTCATTTAACCAGTTGATAAGGTCGACCTCGAGTTATATACAATAAAAGCTCGAGGTATTGGTCCCGGTTTTTTGGTTATCCAATTGTTCCCTAATTATTTGTAGTTTCGTTTATGAAAACTTTATTATATTTACGAAACGATTCATAGGACTGTTCGAATTAGTTATTTGGAAGTAAGGTATGAAAATTAAGCCAATTTAAAAATCCGTTTAAATTGGCTAAATTTTTGAGCTCGCATCAAAAAAACACATTTTGTAAGTAAAATTTTATTGTAACTAAAAATGTACATTTAACTCAAGAATGATCCTCGTGAGGCATTCACATTAAGCCAACGGAAGTGAATGTTCTCCAACTTATTTTTGCTGGACTTTCGGCTATTCGGGAAACCCACCAAGTTCTAGTAGTCATAAAAGCTTCATTGGGTCTTAAATTCTACCGAGGGAGAGAAGTTTCACAGGATTTATGTAAATTAGAACATTGATATGCACCTCAATTCAATCGAAAAAGCTCACTCGAATGTGGTGTTAAAAATACGCACTTGCATATACTGAATCGCTTGCTTGTTCTTGCGCGTACCTTCCTCGCTTTAAGTGAAATAAAACGTTCCATCAAAGGTTTTCTGATGGCCAATTTAATTTGCAAAAAAAATCAAATCACTGGTAGCCTCTCTGTCTAAATCTCAAGGGAGTCAGCCTCAAAAACATCATGAAACAGCAGTGTTTATAATTGGCTACTCTCTAGAAATTGTATGCTGAACTAAAGTGGAAAGTTGTACGCATTCAGTTTCAGTGTTTTCAGTCCAGTATTCGCTTTTTAAATTGCTCTCAAAAGTAATCGTAAAAACATCTAGTCAAATATCTTCAATAGACTCATGTTTGTTCCCTACTATTATTTCTCCTTGCACATTTAAACTGCTCGCAGAATTCACATAATGCTTGCCATATTGACGTACATTCTTCGACTTGATTGCACATAAAAAAGTTGAGTTTTTTTATCTAAAATTATGGATAAGTTACGTGAGCTAAAATATCAGCAATGTTTGTTTTCGCCTCCCAAATGATATCAGTCAGGGCTGAGAAACCGGAATAAGTCGACAATGCACCAGGTATATAGCATCCTCATTAACCCCCTCATTGCTTCGCTTGCCACGTCGGTTCTTTGGCTTAGTCCTCCAGACGTAAAAGATAGCCGTGGCGAGAGAGAGAGCGAGAGGCAGCGAGGGAGCGCCGAGGTAGTCATGCTTATTAATCGATGCCTTCGCCTTGTCCCCATGCCTCCCTCTCCACCTTTTCCAAGAACCTGAATGTACGCGCGCATTTCAAAACGCCTCCCCTGGCCAATCAGCCATCGAAATGTGGCCATGCTCGAATGGGGGGTATGAGTTGGAGGTTTGGCTGATTATAAAGCGGTCTTCTTGCTTTTTTCATCACAAACCAGACGAAAAAATAGCTGGGCAAGAGGATAATTCGGAATCAAAAATGATAAATGATATGGGAGGGAGTTAGGGTGGGAACAAAAAATAGAAATAGCCATCGGTTTTTTTAATGTGAACTTGGAGTTTTGTTGTTAACTTCTCAACTTTAGTCCAATCTGCTTACTTCTGTGGACCTATTTCCCCAAACAAAACAACTCCATTTGCCTCATTGTCTTTCCTTAATGTGGATGGCGGTCGATCTCATCACCATCATCAATCTCATTATGGGCCGATACCGATGTCTTGTATACGATATTTGCAAATTTTTTTCACGCACCTTGTCCTTTACATCAATTTTTTAATAGGCATAAGACCTAAAACGTGTGAGGGAGAGAGTTGGAAATGCTTTCAATAAGCTATTTCTATCGAATACTTCAAGAAATTCTATGATTAACTTATTTTAAAATGAAGCGTTGCCGCTCTGAGAACAAACTGCTAAGGCTTTCATCCAACTGTAGCTGGCTAGTGAGTGATTGTGCTGGCGATTCCTCAGAACCTTGTTACGTTTACCACTTAAGCTTGTGCTTTTGGGGATTAAAATCGGTTTAATGGTAAGTGTCTCCAGCTTTATGTTAACGTATTCCATCTTCGCCTATGATCCTTTCTAAATCGCTCGAATGAAAATCTATTTTTTAAATCCTATTTAATTCATCACGAGGATTCCGGAATTTGACATTACCCTTAAAATGTTATAGGAATTTGTCCTCTCCATTTCTCTGTGACAGTTTGGCCGATCATGTTTGCTCGGAACTAAACACCGAGACCTGTAAAACCCGAGATTTACTACTAAAGTATATGCCCTCTGCTCCACTCAGCCGAGAATGTTATCTGCTTTCTTTCTGCACCGGTTTGTTGCCAGTTGGAAAGAGCTGATAATGTGAACGATTTGAAGTAGCTAAGTGACTTTTTCTTGCACCCAGAAGGTGAGAGAACGCAAAAAGTGGCAATGTCAACTCTGAACCAACAGCGCAAAGTGGTGGAACAGTTGCGTTTGGAGGCGGGACTCCACCGGCGTCCAGTATCGGAGTGCATTCGTGATATGATCGGCTTTATAGAGCAGTACCGAGATAAGGACTGTCTAGTAAACGGCTTTGCCTCAAAGAAAGACAACCCATTCCAGGAGAAAGGCGGCTGTCAATTGCTCTAAACCGGTGGCTAAAAGCGATGGGCTGAGAAAAGTGTAGCAAACGAAGGGAAAGATGAGCCACTGCTCTTTCCTTCCCCCTTCCTCAATTCCAATTTCCTCCCACCTCTGCCCTTGTGTACAAAGCAGGATATTGAAGTGTTAATCTGTGTACATATATTGGTCGATTTGGTTTCCTCTGTCCCGCACCTAGACTCGGTCTTGTGCGTTTCCCCTGTGCTGATTGTTTTCGCCTTTTTACTCCCTTCATGTGCACACACAGACACCATCTTACTCTTCTTCCCTCACCTCCTCTTAACTAATCGTAATGCTGGCGTTTATTTTCGCTTTATCAAATCATCGTACAAGCCCATGACTACACTCTTCGCCACTTGTTCCACTTCTGCCTCACAAAATCACGCGCACCTTCCAACTCACACCAAGAAATTGCTGTCAATTTCGAGAATAAAATAAAGAAATTAGGCATTAATTCTTGACTTTTGGTGAGCTTGGAGAGAAGATTTAGTCTGAGATTTTTTCGGTGATTGGTACAATGCACCGTGGATATCATCAAGACACATGAGAAGTTGTGTATTTCGAACTGAACAATAAAAGTCCAACCAACAATGACTAATTTTTCACCCTATGAGATATCACGGATAAGGTTTTCTGTTTATGAAGCTGGAATACTAGTCTCCTTCAACAAAAGATACTCAGAAAATACGTAACTAGTGTATTTCTGTTTACCTCCGCCGCCTTAGATAAGTTTGCCAAAGAGAAGAGAAAAAACCCTGGTGTTACGATATCCAAGTTACCCCCGAGTAACAGTATGCAGGAGGCCTGAGACAATCGCAAAGGGAGGATCCAAGGTCAAAGCCTAAAGCGCTGCAGACAACTCATTGTTTTATTTAAAGCTCTCTCTCTCTCAAATGCACTACGACTAGCATAACTAGAGAAGTGGATTGGCTGAGTAAATGGTGAACTGTGAAAAACCCTTCAAATTTAGCGGTTAATCTGATCGTGAACCGAGCTGGTGGATGCCTTTAAAAGAGCATTCTCATATTTGGGAAATATACTGCAAGAACATTTATTACTGAAATCACATCTAACAGAAAGTTTATCCCAAAATCAAATCAATTTGTTCGATTTGAATAAAATCCGTTAATTTTTTACCCGTTTCACTTTCTGCCATTTTAGTGCAGCCCATGCTTCTTTTGCCAAACATTCTCAAATTTCATGAAAGCAAATGTATACATTTGCAGCCGGAATGTCCACTTCCAGAGACACGTGGTGTTTAACAGGTTACTTAAGCCCAAAGGAGATCTGAGGATGTTTAGATTAGTCGGATCAACGATGAACAGACATGGGGACAAGCAAATGCATGAATGGAACAGCAGACCGCATGGAAAGACCAGTAGCTGGATGTACAGATTGATAGATGAATAGCTGCAGGGCAGGTTATAACACGAAATAAGGTTTCTGTTCATGAAGACTAAGCACTAATGTCTCCCAGTTGGCATTCATTCAGCAAACCTCTTTGGAGGAAATGCTACCAGTGGGATCCCGTTTGTGTCTGCTCGCTTATATGAATATGACAAGATGATTAGAACCAATCCTGATGTCATAGTGTCCGGGGTACCCTTTGCTAACAATGCACGGAAGACCGGAGACAGTAGCGGAGGGAGTCGCAGGAGCGAGGCCTGAGGTGTGGGATGCCACTCATCGTTACTCACTGTTTTATTTTCAGCCCTCTCCCACCTACTATTTAACTGTCACAAGGCAGTCAGATGCACTGCAACTGACGCAATTCCATAATCCAAAATGGGTGATGCTTTGGCACAACTGTGAGAAGCCTTTCGAATGCAACCATTCTTGTGATCCTGAACCGAACTGGGCGATGTGCTCAAATAGCCTACTTATAGGTGGTAAAGCTTCTACTGCCAAAGCATTATTTCCCAAATCACACCTAGCAAACAATGTTCCCATAATCAAAATAATGCATGAAAATAAAATAAAACACGTTCATATTTCTACTTCTTTCCACCTCGCTGCCATGCCAGTGCTACCCATCCTCCTTGCACCAATCATTCTCAAATTGACGCAATGCATGCACATATACTTGCATCCAGGTATTCATCTTCAGCGTCTTTATGGCTTAAATATAGCATTGGTTTATTACTGGCCACAGTGCGATACCCCCGTTTGAGATGCATAGCAAAGAGCCGAGGATTTAGCCATCCTCTCTCCATGTCACTCTTCTGCAGCGTTTCGCCATAGTCTTCAGCTAGTAAAACCCGGAATGCGATGCATTGGCAGCGGATTCACCCACCACCGAAATTAACGCTACAAGGCGCTACAGACGGTAGCTGTTTCATTTTCAATCTACCAATGAAAGTGAAACAGAAACTGTGCTATTGACATGTAATAAGTCAAGTGTCTCAGTTGGATTAGCAGAAGAGCACCATCTTGACATGCCATTTCATTGTGGAATCCTGAGCTTCGCGTGGGTGTGCTCATGGGTGCGTGCTACCACAACCCTCTCAAGTTTAGCTCATGCATTTGATTCTAGTGAATAAAGGAGAGCCCCACACCATGTTCTGGAGCGTTGAAGTAGCACTCGCAACACCAGTGCCTTGTTTACGACTCTGCTGCGGTAGTGCTGCAATCTGAGTGGATTGCAAAAGCAGTCAAGAAGAAGTGAGTCAGCAAGTTAAATAGTTGCCTTCTCATTGTGAATGCATTGGGAAATTCTGACCTATAAGATGGTAGAACAGTTGAATGAGGTTACTGTAATTTTACATTGTGGCAAATTCTGTGAAAGGGTGAGTCGACTTCGATCCACCTAAATAAATTGCTGAACTCCAAGTCATCACCGTAAATGATTCAACGCCTACCACTACAGAAGAGTGGGCGTGGACATCAATGCATCGTCTCAGGCACTCCCCCACAACACTTCTCCTGCGTCTATCGCAATGCAATCCATGCTTCAAGAACCACACACCAACCAGGCTCCAGGGTCAGCCTCGGTTTCCCATCAAGCCTAGAGGACATTTGACCTCAATGCAACCATTGAATCGCGTCAATTGCCACATATTCAGGACTTCATCTCACGCGCAATTTGCATAATAGCATTTCTATTACATTACACTGCTGAAGGCTGCGCGAATCTCTACAACGGGTACATTGCATACGTCTGCCACTATTCGCAGGGATGTCTGTCAAAAGTGGTGCTGTGTCAGACGCTATTAACACAAAGTGGCCTTACGTATCAAGCACTACAGATTCATTCCTTGCCTCTCATTTCCTACTGATTTCAAGTCTGTTCAGCCGCCTATTCGGGTCTTACTCAGGCATTGGCAACGTGGAGACGGTGCCATAAAATAGGTATTTTCACATGAATGCTGAGGCAACTGCAGTGCAGACGTCTATCATTCAATCAACTCCAAAGTCACTCCAATTGTTGGCTGATTCCTTCATAAAGAAATTGCATTCATGCCAGAAATGGATGCGGATTCTACTCTCTATTGCCCATACACACTTCGACATCTGCTGTTCAGGCATCCTTGTCAAGATTGCATCTACATGTTCCAGGTGCCTGCAATGCCACCACCGTCGTAGCTCCACCAGTTATCCCATGCAACGCAGTAAGGTCTACCAACACACAATTGTGATTTATTACCGCCTATGGTAGGGATGGGAGTTTATGATCGTGGGTGGAAGGACGGCGCCGTCACCAAGACAGCGGAGATTGAGAGGTCCTCGTATTCAATTGTACGGGTGAGCAAAGATGATCATCCTGCACAGATTCCGTGGATCACCGGGCGATACGCATTCATATCGTTTGCGTTTCGCATTCAAAGGGGCGTGCTAGCTTGAGGACAGCAGGGGTGAGAGGCGAGGCCATTGGGATGCTGTTCTGCAAAACCAGTCACCTTGGCGATGGGTCAATTAGTGGCCTAGCAACGCAATGTTGTAGAGGGGGCGAGAGAGAGAGAGAGAGCGAGAGAGAGGGAGAGAGGTGCCACGCCCTTCCCTTTTACTTCGGCCCATACGCCTCCAATATCCACTTTTCTCCCAATTCACCTATTTTAATGATGCTTCGCTTTCCTATTCACACACACTCCAAATCCCATCTCCCCTATGCCTCTTCCAACCAACCATAAATTCACCAGCCCCATTTGTAAAAACGAATGACTAGTTTGAAGCACTTTCAATCCCAGCACCTGATTTCTCAGAGGGTATTCCCAAAGTCTGAAGATCTGGGATTTACTATCACTGACGAACAATGACGCATCAGTCAAAGTAGGCCTATTGCCCTCACTATGCTATCTGGTAAAGTGGGTAGTGGTGTGGAATAGTCTGTTTAAGAGCTGCACACTGTTGCCCGATACCGCGTGTACCTAAATGAGTTGTGAAATAACAACCAGGGCTTTGAAAACAACGCGCAAACTGAGCGCGGAAAAACTGAACATGGACGCATATAAAGTAACTGCCTCCGTCGAATTGTCGTGCCTAATACACCGCATTATTGACAAGATCTGAGGAATCTTGTGCCATGTCAGCTGTCACGACTATTCCATGCCAAAGTACAAAACTATTAATGGCATTTAGTTCCACATCAAAATTA